CATACCACATCACATACCACATCACATACCACATCACATACCACATCACATACCACATCACATATTATTATATCACCTCCCTCGACTTTTAATCTTCAGCTGGATATTTTCCTAACATATTCATGACTGTTCACAGGAATTTTCAGTGAAATCACTTTGCATATTTTCCTGATGATTTGCACTTGTTTGTTGGTAAATTCTTACACCAAATTGAAACACGATGATTTTACCCTGGAAATTACCCGCAAGCTGTCCCTTATCAGGAAGTCTCAAGTACCGTGGGAGCCCAAACCACCCCCACCATATACGGCCTGATTGTTACTGATGAATTGTTCACACCCTTAAGATCATGCACCTCTTCAGCAGCACCCTTTACCGTCACAGCAGCTCCCGTCACCAGACTCCACTAAATTAGGCTCCCCCCGCACTCAGTCCTTTTCATTGTGGCGCTTCCTTTTTATTCTCCTGTTTGAGCTGGTTTTGTTGTGCTGTTCTGAGAGCTCCGCCGTAGCTCAGTGTTACTACCATCTTCATTAGGTAATGTTATAGTTCCGTGCTGAACTACAAACGTTCAAGGCTACTTTGTCTGTCTAGTTTTGTTAGAGAAAAGTCTTAGAAGTACTCCGTAGAAGAGCACTATTATAGAGTTTTAGCGACCTCAAAAAGGCGGTGGCCACCTCTGTGCTGCTCGTCTGCCTGATAGCTCAGAGAGAGGAGCCGGGAGACCTGGCCCTCAAACTTCCCCGACCTCCGTCTTTACCACCGTTAGGACTTATAATTATTGCTAACATCCAATTTACAGAGTTTTCACGCCTCGTCAAGTTTCACAGTGTAACTGCCGAGTAAACTGTAGGGTCGTGTCTCTGGCAGGGTGCTATTTTAGGCGACAGCATGCTACTGGGTGATCTTTTTATTGCTTGGCTTTAAAAGCGTCTTTTAAACTCCCACATATGGCAAATAAACTTCAAGGGCTTTGTGTTTATTACATAAAATATTCAAAAATTACCCTCAAGTTCGCAGTCTGGGTGTCTCGATTGGCTACAAGGACTTACCTTTGAGCCCTTTTTTATCAATTGGGAGAAATTTGTTTCTGGTACAAATTTCTAAATTTGATAATCCTTGACAAATTATCATGATGGGCCCGGTCGGGGCAGAATACACTTCTACACCTGAATTATCTCCCTTAAACCGAGGAGACCCGGAGAGGGGTAAAATTTCACCCTTATTTCATGGACAACCTGAGTTAGGGAGCGTATAAGTTGGCAACGGATCCTGGTTCCACCAGACCACGCCCCTCTTATTCTGTAATCTGCTCCCAAACAAATTATTGTATTTACACTCAGATAATATATGAGAATAGCAATTATCGTCATGCAACAGCAAACGGGAATAAATTAGGTCAAACTTCGAAGTCGCGTGTCAACTTTTTTGTGGAAATAGTTATGGCATCACTAGTTTCCGGTTATGAAATATTTGGTTGTGTTTGACTAATTTACATTTTCAGACGCATTCATCACGGAGTGCACGTAGCTCCCGCTCTCCGCACTCCCCAAACAGTAACTCTCTCAACAGGATGACTGTCTGTGCGGAGGAGGTAAACATCTTTATCTTTATTAATAATTATCTTAATTACATTAATTATCTTAATTACATCAATAATGTGATATCTTTTATCTTTATATCATTAATTATCTTAATTACATCAATAATTAGATCGAGGTAATTATCTTTTATCTTTATATCACATTATATTCGATCGTAAAATTGTGAAATTGTTCGTAATTAACTTGTTTATTACTGTCTCGTGAGATTTATCCTTATTTAATCCCAGTTTTTGAATTCACGATCTTTACCTGTCTTTATTGTGGTTTTAGATAACTTTGCTTTGTTTTTTTGTTGTTGCTAGTGTTGCTCGAATAATTTCTGTTGTCGTCTCAGATTGCGTGACAGCAACTTCGTTAGTTAGATTTTAACGGGAAACATATTGACTTCATAGTAAGTTACCCCATAACATTCCTAAGTCCAGAGAGCGAGGAAACCTGAATATTTCTCAGTAATATTTGGCAAGATGATTACACAAATATCTTAGTAACAGTGTCTAAACCTACGCTCGGTAAACATCGCAAAAATTCCTCACTTTTGACTGGGAGCCCACGCCCAAAAACCAGGCCTGTAAACACTATTACAAATATCGTGAAATATTCGAAATATTTCGGAGGTTAAAGGCGACTTGAAGTCCAGCAGGCAAGTGTCTGGGACAATCGCCGACCGGTTTTAAAGTGAGAGTGAGAATGAGAGTGAGAATGAGAGTGAGACAGGGAGTGAGACTGAGAGAGAGAGAGTGAAAGTGAGGGAAAGTGAGAGAGGAAAGTGAGGGAAAGTGAGGGAGAGAGAGTGAGGGACGCGAATGTTAAGAGGGTAGACATGACGTAACTATCTCCCTCCCCCAACACGTCTACCCTTGTCTCTGGCGTGTCATAAGAACAAGACAACTGACATCACCCTGCAAATACTCACTTAGTTTTCAAGACACTAACAGTCACCTCTCTCTCTGGGCGAGTCCTGGGCGTGTCTTAAGCAGTGTTGTACGGGAGAGTCTAGGGTGTGGCCTCACTCCCTCCATCTCTCTCTCTCACTCTATCTCTCGCCAAGTTTTTACCAGCAGCTGAGAATGTGATAAATACGTAGGATACATGTTGACTTATTTCAACAGTGATTAGTTCTCACATGGCTGGTTTATAACTCAATACCTCTATGATAATCTGTGTTATGATAATTAAAATAATTTTACAACAGAAATGAACATTCAACAAATACCGGAAATTTAAAGCCTCTCAGAAAAAAAAACCCAGATTATATTCTACATTTTATAAATAAATACAACAAAGAATGAGTTCCAAATATGTGCCTAATAATAAGCGTTAATGTAACATGCCATTATTAGCGACTCTGAGGCTCAATTGTGGACCAATTTATGCTTTACTTTGTTCCTTACCGCGCTAACCTCCTCCCAATACACAACACATCCTGTAAGTTCCCGGGCCAAAGGGAAAAAGAATAAACTGACAAGGTAGGGGTTTTACTGTCGGGTGGATGAGAACGCCTTTAATCGTTACCTGGTTACCTGGTTACCTGGTTACCTGGTTACCTGGTTAGGTAGGAGTTTTACTGTCGGGTGGATGAGAACGCCTTTAATCGTTATCGTACAAAGGGCTCATATCGGTTTAGATCTGTCATCAATTGCTATCGACCTCCCCGTATGAAACGAATATCTATTTGGTCAGAAGGCTTCGGAACCCGATATAAAGCCTATTCTTGGCTCATTTGTCATCGATATGCAGACGACAAGAAGGAGCCATGAGTGCTCAGCAACATGGACCAAGTTGCAACGATGTTAAAATAAGGCCTGACAAAATGTTGGGGCCTGACTCCTTTGTGGCTAACCAAACCTTAGTTGGTGACAAGATTACAGCTTATCACTATTGCATTGGTCCCTGCATCCTTATTGACATCGGTATCACCGCAATTCGAGGCATATTACCATCGCACCTGAAGGATTCAAAAGCTCTATCAAGATGAATTATGATAATTCAATCTTAGTGTTTACACTGTCCCACCAATGAATTTTATACTTGAAAATTAGTATGGATGTGTTTTCCCAAGCTGTTGCTTGATTCCCTAGTCTAAAAGAGGCTTTGCGACGGGTGGACTCCCAAACAAACCGCTGAGCCTCCTACCCACAATATATAGTGTGCTGGGTGCAATTAGACCGGCTGCAGGTTGGCACTAAAATCAGTTCAAATAACTGGGAGGCGGAGGCGCTAATTCGTCGTTTTGAAGCAACTGTAGGGCGTTCACTCTGCACATACTTTTGAATACCAACATTCCTTGTGTGGTTCCCCCTGCCAGTGCCAGTTGACACTTGAGATACTCTAAATAGTGCAAATCTATTGTCGAGATTAATCTTTAGATTTAGACATAGTTTAGTTGCGAGTTCTCAGCAGAGAGAGAGAGAGAGAGAGAGAGAGAGAGAGAGAGAGAGAGAGAGAGAGAGAGAGAGAGAGAGAGAGAGAGAGAGAGAGAGAGAGAGAGAGAGAGAGAGAGAGAGAGAGAGAGAGAGAGAGAGAGAGAGAGAGAGAGAGAGAGAGAGAGAGAGAGAGAGAGAGAGAGAGAGAGAGAGAGAGAGAGAGAGAGAGAGAGAGAGAGAGAGAGAGAGAGAGAGAGAGAGAGAGAGAGAGAGAGAGAGAGAGAGAGAGAGAGAGAGAGAGAGAGAGAGAGAGAGAGAGAGAGAGAGAGAGAGAGAGAGAGAGAGAGAGAGAGAGAGAGAGAGAGAGAGAGAGAGAGAGAGAGAGAGAGAGAGAGAGAGATAATCAAGGATTATAATATCTTGACAAGGTCCACGGAACAGGAGCTTCCGGTGTACCACTGTTCACATTGCAGTATATAATTACCAAATGTATCACGTGTGTCATCACTGCCAAATATATATAATACGGGACAGTCCTCTCCGCCAGCATTCATACTACATTAACTTTTCCCATCTTCGCTCGCAAAGAAAACCTGTAAAAACCCGCTCCGCTCCTGTCACAGGAGGTGTCAGATACGGGGTGTCACGTGTAGGATAAGATCTCCGTGAGATCTCGTTGGCCGGGGGGTGGAGGAGGAGTGCGCGGCGCGCGCAGTCACATGACCGGTAGTGCCGGAGAGGCACATGCAGGTGCTCCCTGGTATATCTAGCTGGTTAGTTGTCGTCAATATATTAATATATATTTTTATATAGGTGCGTTGGGCAGGGAGGGAGGACTATAGGAATGTGGGTAGGGTGTGACCTGTCAACGCTCCTCTCCAGCTCTCCCTCTCTCTCTCCCTCTCCCACTAGGAGCTCCCTCCAGAGACGCTAATTTTACATATGTTTTAAATAGGAATATATATTTAAATATATATATACCTCGGCCAGCCGCCGTACTCTCCTCTCCCTCCAGCCTTTCCCTCTGAGTTTTAGTGCTAATTTTCTCGTGTGCCGTGTGCTTGTGTTAGTTAGGTGCCCTCTCTCTCCATCTCTCTCTCTCCCTCTCTCTCTGTCCTGATATCCTGTACTGAGCCCGGAATGTGGGATAACTAGTACAAGGCAACACCTGCAACTCTCACTCGGAGTGTATCTTGTAGGGTCTCCCCCGCTAGTAGCTGTCACTCTGTACCGTGAGCTTTATCCCTCACTTCAACCCAGTAGTCTCTCATTTCTGTAGTCTACATAGATCTCTACCAGTGAGCTCTGCGCAGCCACCCGTCAAGCGCATGATTTGGAGCTTTCTTTGCAAGGGTGGCATCGTCTACAAGAAAATGGAGGATCGTCAGAGAACTGCGTCCATGTCCACGCATAGGAGCAACCAGGAAGAATCTAAATCACCGAAAAGTCGCCGGAGAAACACTATCAGTATTACAGATTTTGCTCGGACTAGGCCAAGTCGAGCTGGAAAGAAGAATAAAACGGTGTCATGTTTGATTGAAACGGTATCGGAATCCAGTAATGTTTACACGCAGCCAGCGATCAGTCAGATTATTGAGGAAATCAAGGTTTTGAAGATTTGTGGAGCTTATTTGCATTTTCATCTGATTTTGTGCTTTCAGTCTGTTATTTTGCTTTTTTGTTGTCGAAATTGTTGATAAAAATTGAAATCTTCGTTGAAATTTTTGATGAAAATTGAAATATTCGTCGAAATCATTGAGTTTCCATCCTTATTTCACGTTTAAATACTGCCAATCAAAATTTGTGTTGATAAAATTAACCATCCCATATGTTGACGTTATTTCCTTTGCAGGTGTCGAAGTTTTGCGAGTTTCACAGCCGGCACGCAGCCTACCATTTAGCACACAACGTGCACTTGTTCATGCGAGACCACAGCCTCCCCCCGCCAGTCACACAGTCACACTTCATGGACAAGTTCCTTGAAGGTAAGATTAATAGTCACTATTTAGGGAAGGTAAGATTAAAATACAGCCCTTGTTGCTCTAGATCTAGTTCGTATTTTGTAAGTTGCGTTGATTGTTCTAACTTGTCTTGTTGTATCTATCTAGGATTGAAATCTTACATCGTTCTGCCGTTTAATAGTTTATCTATCGCGTCAGCAGTTAGTAGTAGGACGAGGTGTTTCCCGTCAGTTTTCTGAGTTTTGTAACATTGTTTTTCTTGTAACACAGGTTGCATGTGTTCGTGACACGTTTAGTTTGAGTTTTATAACACGCGTTGTAACACAATTTGTTGCTGCTTTGGCACACTGTTTGTATTGTGCGTCAGATTGGGACCCAATTTGTGTTGGTTAAGTGACACAACTTATTTTCTAGCAGAATTAAGTTGGCGGTAACACCGTTTGTTTTGTTTGGTGACAATTTGCGTTTTGAGAAACATTTTATTTGCCCTTTCGAACACGGATGTTTGTGTACTATTGTAGTTCGTGAATGTGAAACCTACAATTTACCGATATTGAAGAACCCTATGGCTTCTGTTGGACATATTCAGCCGTCTAGCTTTTAAATTGAAACGATATGGCCCCAGATTTAGATTTAAATTGGGCAAATATTATTTAAAACTACAAAACGGCTGCTTTAAAAAACCCTAAAACGACAACACGGCTTCATTTTGCTATTTTAGACAACCTGGAATTCAAAGCAAATAACATTTGTACGTGGGTACGGTAGATCCGAGACACTTCAACTGAAGCCCCACAAGTGTTCCTAATTTATTAGACCTGGCAGTGCAGTAACTATAATTCAGTTAAACCCCTCTTAGAATTGACCAAGTACCTGACTTTTGGGTCTCCACCACAACACCCTTTACACTCTCCTTGACAAGTTTCCGGGTCCGGAAACAGCACCTGACTCTACGGTATAAATGTAGATCTGGGTGTTCACTTGAGAGAAGTTCGGCAGAAGTATAGTAGATGTAGTGTAGTAGTTCGGCAGAAGTATAGTAGATGTAGTGTAGTAGTTCGGCAGAAGTATAGTAGATGTAGTGTAGTAGTTCACACACTAACTCCGATTGAGGACTCCCTACAAAGTAGCTGAAGTAGGCGAAGTGTAGCTGAAGTAGGCGAAGTGTAGGTGAAGTGCAGTAGGTGAAGCACTCAGTGAATTAGTGAAGTATTTAGTGAGTTGGTCTGTTTGCTCTGTCTGACTAGTAACCGGGGGTAGTGTGTGTGTTTGCTCTGTCTGACTAGTAACCGGGGGTAGTGTGTGTGGTGACTAGTAACCGGGGGTAGTGTGTGTGGTGACTAGTAACCGGGGGTAGTGTGTGTGGTGACTAGTAACCGGGGGTAGTGTGTGTGTGTTGCTCTGTCTGACTAGTAACCGGAGGTAGTGTGTGTGTGTTGCTCTGTCTGACTAGTAACCGGGGGTAGTGTGTGTTGCTCTGTCTGACTAGTAACCGGGGGTAGTGTGTGTGGTGACTAGTAACCGGGGGTAGTGTGTGTGGTGACTAGTAACCGGGGGTAGTGTGTGTGTTGCTCTGTCTGACTAGTAACCGGGGGTAGTGTGTGTGGTGACTAGTAACCGGGGGTAGTGTGTGTGGTGACTAGTAACCGGGGGTAGTGTGTGTGTGTTGCTCTGTCTGACTAGTAACCGGGGGTAGTGTGTGTGTGTTGCTCTGTCTGACTAGTAACCGGGGGTAGTGTGTGTGGTGACTAGTAACCGGGGGTAGTGTGTGTGGTGACTAGTAACCGGGGGTAGTGTGTGTGGTGACTAGTAACCGGGGGTAGTGTGTGTGTGTTGCTCTGTCTGACTAGTAACCGGGGGTAGTGTGTGTGTTGCTCTGTCTGACTAGTAACCGGGGGTAGTGTGTGTTGCTCTGTCTGACTAGTAACCGGGGGTAGTGTGTGTGGTGACTAGTAACCGGGGGTAGTGTGTGTGTGTTTGCTCTGTCTGACTAGTAACCGGGGGTAGTGTGTGTGTGTTGCTCTGTCTGACTAGTAACCGGGGGTAGTGTGTGTGGTGACTAGTAACCGGGGGTAGTGTGTGTGGTGACTAGTAACCGGGGGTAGTGTGTGTGGTGACTAGTAACCGGGGGTAGTGTGTGTGTTGCTCTGTCTGACTAGTAACCGGGGGTAGTGTGTGTGTGTTGCTCTGTCTGACTAGTAACCGGGGGTAGTGTGTGTTGCTCTGTCTGACTAGTAACCGGGGGTAGTGTGTGTGGTGACTAGTAACCGGGGGTAGTGTGTGTGGTGACTAGTAACCGGGGGTAGTGTGTGTGGTGACTAGTAACCGGGGGTAGTGTGTGTGTGTTGCTCTGTCTGACTAGTAACCGGGGGTAGTGTGTGTGTGTTGCTCTGTCTGACTAGTAACCGGGGGTAGTGTGTGTGGTGACTAGTAACCGGGGGTAGTGTGTGTGGTGACTAGTAACCGGGGGTAGTGTGTGTGTGTTGCTCTGTCTGACTAGTAACCGGGGGTAGTGTGTGTGTGTTGCTCTGTCTGACTAGTAACCGGGGGTAGTGTGTGTTGCTCTGTCTGACTAGTAACCGGGGGTAGTGTGTGTGTGTGTGTGTGTGTGTGGTGACTAGTAACCGGGGGTAGTGTGTGTGTTGCTCTGTCTGACTAGTAAACGGGGGTAGTGTGTGTGGTGAGCCCTTATCTACTGACTCCGGGTATAGACAGTGTTGCAGTTCAATAATCAGCACACTGAATAGTGATGATTGGTGTATCGGCTCTGCTAGTGTACAACTCACATAACACGCACGTCGCACATCACCTATACTGCTGCCCTTCCACTAGGGATAATTGTTCAACAATTTGGTGTTTTGGGCACCTTACTGTATTACTTACCTGTTGTGATGTTGTAGTAGTTTCCGGACTTGGTTGAAAGTTCGTAAAGCTGCTAACTGGTGAGGGAACCCTGTATGATTTATGTAGTTCAAGTTTCAAAACAATTAAAGATTCAGGGTAGCTGCCAGAGACACCATTGTCACACTATTCAACGGTTTAGACATTATATCACGAGGATTGTAAACCATTTTTATAGCACTCTCTGATTTGGGTATCATTAGCGGCCCATTAACTAATTGCCTAATTGGTGTTCCCCGACAGGTTTCAGAACTCATTTCGAGTCTGGTTATCGATTAGCACAAACGGGGGCCAGTGAGGAGTTGAAGTGTACAGACGATACGTGCTGTAAATCTGATATCAAGAGCAGCAAGCTCAAGCAGATCAAGGACCTCGTCTTTGGGAAAACACAGGTGAGAAGTTTCTCCAAAATGTTAAAACCAACCAATGTCTGACCGTACCTCGGAGATTATATCAGAATTTTCCTCAGAAAATAAACTGCCGGTATTATTTTTCTTTGAGCTGCGGCTACGATAATAATTCTTCTTAAAGACGCGCTGATGACTTAACCACCCTTTCTCAGTGGAGTGATGTGAACGGACAGGCTTTGTGCAGTTCCAACATCATCAGAGTGGGCTCAGTCAGTCTGCTGACAGAGAAGGCAAACGAGTTCTGTTGGAAGAAGATCTGGTTGCTGCTGACACACACAGAGGCTGGGAACATGCTCTACATCTACACCAACAAGGTTTCTAAAATTAGATAATTATCAGTACGTTCTGCGCTCATGATATTTGTTGGATTTTAATTACTTTTAAATAATAGAGCATATCAACATATGGATATCCGGCCCTAAAATTTCACGTATTATATGACGTGACCCTACAATCTGTTGCTGTATGATTAGTCTGCTGCCGATGTTCCCACTCAATGTGAATGTTTGAAAGCCGGACTTTCCCCCTCAATACTGCAAATGATTATCACATCAATATTTCCTTCAGAGCGAACAGCCGACAAAAGCTGTCAAATGCTGTCAATTAAAAGAGGTCCGACCGACCAGGACAATCGAGGAGAACAGCACGCTCTCCAAGATAGCGTTCGTCATCAAGATCCAGCAAGCGGAGGAATACATTCTGCACGCTCAGAGTAAACATCAGAGGAATGATTGGGTCCGGCAGATCAGATCTCTTATTCCTACTGAGGGAAACGATATGGACGACCTTAGCGAGTAAGTAGTAGTAGTAGCCTTTCTAATATAGTCGACTGATTTTGTCTCTTATTTTACCTTTCTAATATAGCCGACTGATTTTGTCTCTTATTTTACCTTTCTAATATAGCCGACTGATTTTGTCTCTTATTTTATACGCTTTTATTATTAGTTAGTTCTCGTTATCTCTCACTGAAATCCGGGAAAATTTCGCTTTGTGAGTTTGTAACTGGGAGTTAGATATATCGTAAATTCCCTGATAATTTTTTGTGTGCCGCATATTATGAAGATTTACCAGAGTTCTCTAAATCTCCCCCTCTCAACCTCGCTTAGTCCACTTATAGGGAGGAGGGCCCTTCAGGAGGGAATGTTATAATACGGGGTTAATTATTATCGGAGCTGTACACGAGATTAACATAACCCTGGTATTTGTGCTGTACTTTTAATGTGGCCCCTGTATCAAGTATCTGCGATACTGTGATCAATGGTCCATTCACAGGACTAATTCAGTCCTCTGCGCCCCCCCCCCCTCGTTCCCTTTCCAGCTTACCCCATATATCTACACTCATGTTCTGCCTAATTCCGGTCAAAGCACCACAACACACCCACAACACACCCACAATCCTATAATTATTGTTAATACTTTTTCATGCAATATCCGCAGATTTCACACGGCCCCCAGCCCCGTATATGTAAATATATCAGGAATGCGGATGATTTCTATGACATAAATATCACAGTGCATGATACATTAAATGTCATTATCATATACATATCAGCATAACCCTGGGCGTGTCGGGTTGGTTCCATTAACCGTACTGTGATCATCACCAGTAATAGTGACACGCCACTTTAGACACGAGTAATGTGGTTAAGCGTTGTATAATGTCACTCCTATTAGACCGTGTCCTATCAGCTCTATATGTTATACAGGTTCCTGCTAGTCATGTTAAAGAGAGGTGAACTTGTGTACATTCCTGTCAGGATGAGGAGGAGGATGTTTTATCTTACGTCACTGAAAACTACTCCTAGTATCACTGAACAGAGAGATGGTTCTTTCATACAAATTACTGGTTGTTTCTGATTAGACTCAGTGAAACAGTCAGAAATCTGTATGAATGAAACATCAAAATAATACACGACTCAGTAATAATATTACACGACTCAATCAGAGAGGTGGTTGTTAAGAGTTTACCTGGCTGTAAAACTTGGCACGACTTGCTCTCCACAAAACATGTTGAGAGTATTTTGAATATTCTCACAAACTATTTCACTCCTGTGATGTTACACTGCAAATGTTTGGTTTTTAACAAGTTTGGCCGCGCCTTTATACTCCACTTCTCTCTCAGCGAGCCTATCTCAAAACATTACACTCTCCACAACCTGTGTGGGGTCCTCTATTAAAATTTCCCAGACTTGATACGGAATTGTTAAAAAATTTAAAAGCGTTTATCATTATCAATGAAAATAATAATTCCATATCGGTATACTTAATTAGATTTAGATCAGAATGCTGTATTTGAGCGGAGATTGGCCAGGGCGAGCTTATCAGGGCCGGTATTTCAAAATAAATGATTAAATGAGGTGCCGGGTGGGTGGTGTTACCCCCGCTAAAATACCCGGCTACTCAGAAGGACAGTTGTCACCCAACACAATCTCTGATTTACTGTAAACGCCTGGCCCGTGTGGGGTTAGGAGCTGGTCTTCATCCGGGCTTTGTTGGAGAGTGTGGTTCTGTACCGGCTCTTTTACCTGGCTTAACAAAGTGTGTGTGGCTCCGTACCGGCTCTTTTACCCGGCTTAACAAAGTGTGGCTCCCGGATCTTCTACTTTCAGACTACAACCTCAAATGGCCCGAGCCCCGATGGTTCTAGATTGAGCACTTTGTAGCTTTGTATAATTCTATATTCCACTGCTCCACCTAGCAGCTACTTTACCACCCTTGTTACCACCACACTACCTTGGTTACCACCTCATCGCCCTAGTTACCACCACACTACCTTGGTTACCACCTCGCTACCTTGGTTACCACCTCGCTACCTTGGTTACCACCTCGCTACCTTGGTTACCACCACACTACCTTAGTTACCACCACACTACCTTAGTTACCACCCTGAACACTGACCAGTGGTCACCACCTCACCGCCTGGCCGTAGACCTTGTAAACAATTCAAAGATTTGCACGGACAAGAAAAATTTGAGAGACTTTGCATATCTTCATACCTCATTTGTCAGAACGTAGGTCATTGTGCGTGCTCCTTCAGCAAAACAAACATTAGGAAGAGTTGACTTCCTACCACAGATCTGGTTGTGAGTCGCACCCCACACGCAGCGAGGGCGGAGTTCCCAAATGTACCACACAAACAAGTCCAAACATGGCTTCTCCCCGCTATACCGTGCCGGAGAGAGAGAGAGAGAGAGAGAGAGAGAGAGAGCGGTATAAAAATAGAACCTGACCTGATAGCCTGGTGAAATATCACCGAAAATTTCCCACACTCCAACCCCGGGCGGTTTGAACATAATCGCTGATAAATGTTATATCGGTAATCGGTTTATCAGCAGGCCCTACTCAGACTAATTAGTCTTGGTGTGTGTCGTCAGTAGAGTGAGAATTACTGTCAAAGCAAGCTCGGGCCCCCGTGAAAATTCCATAATGTAAACGATCTATGAAATCGTAGGTAGAAACACGCACACATCCAGTATTTTAGGATCACTCTGAAACTAATATTGATTACATTTTCAGTTCAGATGGGGAAGAAGACGGAAGATCGAATACAGGTAATTACAGAGGATAATATAACTCGCTGATAACTTGTAGACACCCATTCAGGGACTATTGAAGCACGTGCTTCTGTTCAGGGACTATTGAAGCACGTGCTTCTATTCAGGGACTATTGAAGCACGTGCTTCTGTTCAGGGACTATTGAAGCACGTGCTTCTGTTCAGGGACTATTGAAGCACGTGCTTCTGTTCAGGGACTATTGAAGCACGTGCTTCTGTTCAGGGACTATTGAAGCACGCGCTTCTGTTCAGGGACTATTGAAGCACGTGCTTCTGTTCAGGGACTATTGAAGCACGTGCTTCTGTTCAGGGACTATTGAAGCACGTGCTTCTGTTCGTCATCAACTACAGTCTAGTTACCAGGTCATCTTAGATCGAATACGAACTCCCATTAGAGCATGATTCTACAATACAGGGCACAGGCATGTCGAGTTCAGTGATCATTGGTCCAGGCAGCATTCTCTCGTTTTGCTATAAATAAAATACAATATACGCAGTACAATACATGGTCTCGTATGCGAGGCAAGATCGGCTAATCCCTCGACCCGCACCACGTCCGAAAAATAAGAGAAATTCTGGGTAGTTGCTGAGATAACTGGGCAGGGACCTGAGAGCGGGGCCCCTTCACTGCACTGTTTAGTCATGAGAGTGGGCCCAACCCAGGTGGGGTACGTGGGGTGGTCAGTCAGCGGGGTTGTTCTAGAAGGTTCCCTGCTACACGTGCTATTTAACAAGTGGAATGTTTACTGGAAAAATAACACCGGCCTCTCTACCTGATTATAATATCCAATCTCTTACTACTGGCCAATTAATTGAGAAGAGAAGACTCAACCCGATGGAATGTGGTGTTGGAATGCGTGTTTTTACCGTGAAAGAATGTAAGGAGAGCTGGAGAGGGAGGGAGAGAGCTGGAGAGAGCTGGAGAGAGCTGGAGAGAGCTGGAGAGGGAGGGAGAGAGCTGGAGAGAGCTGGAGAGAGCTGGAGAGAGCTGGAGAGAGCTGGAGAGAGCTGGAGAGGGAGGGAGAGAGCTGGAGAGAGCTGGAGAGAGCTGGAGAGAGGGAGGGAGAGAGCTGGAGAGAGCTGGAGAGAGCTGGAGAGAGCTGGAGAGAGCTGGAGAGAGCTGGAGAGAGCTGGAGAGAGGGAGGGAGAGAGCTGGAGAGAGCTGGAGAGAGAGAGAGAGGGAGGGAGAGTGTGTGTGGCAGTCTCTGTTCTCAGTGTAAACAGTGTGAGGGTAGTGTAACGTGCATTACGTGTAGCCTCGTCCCCTCTATTCCTCTAGTGAGTGGTCGGGACATGCAGTGTGGAGTAACCATCTCTCACCCCTGTCCCGCGAGAGGGTCCCCTCCTCCCCTCCCATTGGCTCACAGCCCATCACGTGACCTACATCGGACTCTCTCCACTCTTCAGTGAGCTGTCACGTGGGCTCAGATCACAATTCTTACTGGTTCCCTCTGATTTGATGGGCAATGCATTAATATAATGTTATGAAGCGGACTGGGGTCTGGCTGGCTCCAGCCTCAATATATAATACAATAATAACCTGCCATTATTCAATTTGATGTGTACTCCCTGAGTTTGGAGGTGGGGTGGTGGGTAGTATTGTGAGTAGCTGACAAGTTCACCCTGCCCAGCTGTGACACGTACGGAATGTACCGCACATTGTACGGAATGTACCACACATTGCCACATTTTCAAACCCAGCAAATAAACCCTCCTCCCGGCTTGCCAGTCACAACTACCTGTATCTCTGTGTTCATCATGTGTTGCTCTGTCAAGGATTTTGTAGAATGATGACATCATTACGTGGATAGGGAGAGAGAGAGCAAGAGAGGGAGAGAGAGAGAGCGAGAGCAGCAATTGATAATACTCAACTTGGGTGTGGAATCCAGGCTCTAATAATCGGTCAACCAATCTCTATATCGGTAATCTGAGCAGTTAATCTAGTGTCCGATCGGAACTAGGGCGGCCGGCCGCCAAGTGATAATTTAATTCAAGTATTTGAGGCTGAAATGTGGGTGACATGCCAATCAACAACCCACGACAAGTGCTAGTTTTGTCCGTTTCCAAGGAAATTGTTCGCATTCCCCGAATTACTGAATGTAGGATAATGCATGTCAGGAGAGGGTGGAGAGCCTGTAAAATGTTCAACACTATACACACCCACACAGTCCGCCAAATAACACCTGGATCAACTAACCTCCGCATAACCTCCGCACAACCTCCGCACAACCTCCGCATAACCTCCGCACAACCTCCGCACTACAACACCACCACTTCATACCGACATTCCGGCAAACTACTCCTTCCTCCATAACTTGATCCACAAATATGTAGCGTTCTCTCCATCTCTCTGATCTCCTGGTGTGTAGTTTAGTGTGTACTGTGTGGTGGGACGTGTCCGCCTAGTGGACTCCACCTCCGCATAACCTTCCAGAACAACTGGGCCTTCAGACCCTGGCCTGTACTTCCGGTACATTTCAGTGTTATTAGCAGAGAGAGAGAGGGGGAGAGAGAGAGAGAGAGAGGGAGAGAGAGGGGGGAGCTTGACACCTGGACAGAGGATCAATGGGTTGATATAACTGTGAATTTGCACGATTCCCGCTACTCAGCTCGCAGTAATAATAAAGAATGTGGTGATTTAACTGGAAATAAGGCGGAGGAGAGTCCGTGTTAAAATTTGACTCTCTGTGGCTGCTCCTCGCTGCTGGACACTCTTTCAGACAAAACGTGGAGGAATATAATCTGGAGGGGTTGTATGAGGGGTTATGTGAGCTCCACGTATCATTCTGGAGAACCTCCCTCTCTCTCTCTCTCTCTCTCTCTCTCTCTCTCTCTCTCTCTCTCTCTCTCTCTCTCTCTCTCTCTCTCTCTCTCTCTCTCTCTCTCTCTCTCTCTCTCTCTCTATCTCTCTCTCTCTCTCTCTCTATCTCTCTCTATCTCTCTCTCTCTCTATCCCTCTCTCTCTCTCTCTCTCTCTCTCTCTATCTCTCTCTCTCTCTCTCTCTCTCTATCTCTCTCTATCTCTCTCTCTCTCTCTCTCTCTCTCTCTCTCTCTCTCTCTCTCTCTCTCTCTCTCTCTCTCTCTCTCTCTCTCTCTCTTTCTGCTGAGTGATATAATGTGGTGGGGATGATGGAATGATACCCCCAGCTAGGATAACTCACTGACCACACCCTGCCTGATTAATCAATACATGAGCAGTAGGTGAGATAGGTAGGCAGATTCGCTGTTCTAGTAAACACGCATCTTTAGCGGCAGGCTCTGATGTAACCTGTCATTATCACTGCTACAACACCCTGGTACTACTCACCCTGTCAACCTTCTGTTCCTTAAATACCCTCAGTTTAAAACTATTCTCATCCTAAAAACCAGCAAAAAGGAATCTGAATCTCATACAACCGCACCCAATGACAATATCACCGAATTCTGAAAATGGGAACTTGAAACAAGACGTCAGGGCCTGGCTCCAGATTGGAACAAGGTTACAGAGCTGACCTGGTGGTGACCTGTTAACCTGTTAACCTGTTAACCTGTTGACCTGGTGACCTGTTAACCTGGTGGTGACCTGTTGACCTGTTGACCTGTTAACCTGGTGACCTGTTGACCTGGTGACCTGGTGACCTGTTGACCTGGTGACCTGTTAACCTGGTGACCTGGTGACCTGGTGACCTGTTAACCTGGTGACCTGGTGACCGGGTGACCTGGTGACCTGGTGACCGGGTGGTGCCCTGGTGACCTGGTGACCTGTTAACCTGGTGACCTGGTGACCTGGTGGTGACCTGGTGACCTGTTAACCTGGTGACCTGTTAACCTGGTGACCTGTTAACCTGGTGACCTGTTAACCTGGTGACCTGTTGACCTGGTGACCTGTTGACCTGGTGACCTGGTGACCTGGTGACCTGGTGACCTGTTAACCTGGTGACCTGTTAACCTGGTGACCTGTTGACCTGGTGGTGACCTGGTGGTGACCTGTTAACCTGGTGACCTGTTGACCTGGTGACCGGGTGACCTGGTGACCTGTTGACCTGGTGACCTGGTGACCTGTTAACCTGGTGACCTGGTGGTGACCTGTTAACCTGGTGGTGACCTGGTGACCTGTTAACCTGGTGACCTGGTGACCGGGTGGTGCCCTGGTGACCTGGTGACCTGTTAACCTGGTGACCTGGTGACCTGGTGGTGACCTGGTGGTGACCTGGTGACCGGGTGACCTGTTAACCGGGTGACCTGTTAACCTGGTGACCTGTTGACCGGGTGGTGACCTGTTGACCTGGTGGTGACCGGGTGGTGGTTGTAGACTGTTTACCCGCCGCACACACTATGTGTTTGTACAATGTAACACGTATCGCAGACAGACTGGGAAGGATATTGTCAGTACATTATTACACACAGCCGGGTAGTACTGTGTGTACTGTGTGTGTTTACCCTGTACTACTGATCACGTGACACCCTGTACTACTGATCGGAATAGACTGTACTTCTTGTCACGTGATAGTTGATACTTATGTCTTGTCATAACACGTACCATCAGGTGATCATATCATGTTTGTGAGGTAGGAAGTGCAGATATTAGTTCAGCGAAACGGTTAAAAAGTCAGCTAGAGCTCCCGCTGGTGAGCATCTTCCTGTCATATTTCCGGTATCTTCCTGCTGTTTAGCTACTTCTCGGACTCAGGACTTAGGACTCAAAATAAGTTCCCAGTTTAGTTTGGGTGAGGAAGTGTGGACATTAGAGGGAAACAGAAGGTGAGGGATCTGGTAAACTGCTCAGGAGGAAACAGCTCAACTGCTGGTAAGAGTAGGATAAGAACATCCTGCCCCGAACCACGTACTGTGTCCTGGAATATGTTGTGTCCCGGACACGGATCATGTCTTGTTGTGTCCCGTATTTAGGGATCTCAGGACTCTGAGCTTCTGAGGGAGGTGTAGTTTGGTGATGTAATCCAGTAACTGGTAGGGATTCAGGAAGAAAACAGAAGCCATGTACAGTCTGTCCCTGCAGTAGAGAGTGCCCTTTGTGGTATTTAAAACGTAGTTTACAAATTGTTAAACCAACTTTAAACTAGGTTGACTGAAAGATTTAGAGCTCAGAACGTCGTTTCCGGAGTAAAAATAGAAAATTATGTTATCGATTTTTACTTTCTATTGCATCACATACAAAATAAAAAATCTCTAACGTAAATATTGTGTTTCAGGATTTTCATCAGCTAGTACTGGCAGTCACTCGACCAGCACATCTGATTCCCTGGAAACAGCGTGTAAGTACAATTCTTTATTTCCCTTTATTTCCCTTGAAACAGCGTGTAAGTACAATTCTTTATTTCCCTTTATTTCCCTTGAAACAACGTGGAAGTACAATTCTTTATTTCCCTTGAAACAGTGTGTAAGTACAATTCTTTATTTCTCTTTATTTCCCTTGAAACAGCGTGTAAGTACAATTTTTTATTTCCCTGGAAACAGCGTGTAAGTACAATTCGTTATTTCCCTTGAAACATCGTGTAAGTACAATTCTTTATTTCCCTTGAAACAGCGTGTAAGTACAATTCTTTATTTCCCTTTATTTCCCTTGAAACAGCGGGTAAATACAATTCTTTATTTCCCTTTATTTCCCTTTATTTCCCTTTATTTCCCTTGAAACAGCGTGTAAGTACAATTCGTTATTTCCCTTGAAACAGCGTGTAAGTACAATTCTTTATTTCCCTTTATTTCCCTTTATTTCCCTTGAAACAGCGTGTAAGTACAATTCTTTATTTCCCTTTATTTCCCTTGAAACAGCGTGTAAGTACAATTCTTTATTTCCCTTTATTTCCCTTGAAACAGCGTGTAAGTACAATTCTTTATTTCCCTTTATTTCCCTTTACTTCCCTTGAAACAGCGTGTAAGTACAACTCTTTATTTCCCTTTATTTCCCTTGAAACAGCGTGTAAGTACAATTCTTTATTTCCCTTTATTTCCCTTGAAACAGCGTGTAAGTACAATTATTTATTTCTCTCTTTATCATGTCAGTGTTCAAGTCAAGTACCGTGCACGTGTATTACCTGAAGGCAAACATGAACAAAACTATGAATGTGGTTGCAGTTAATTTGTGGGTTCTTACATAATTCCATCTCAAGGGCACTTAAGCCGCGCGTTTTAATTACATCGCTAATTTAAGCTAATTACCAGCTTATTCATTTTCTTGATTTGTGGGTTTCACCTGTTATGAACCTACCAAGAATTAGGCGAAATAAATTGCCCTAAAAATAACCGCTTGGCCAACATGACATATGTCTCAAACTCAAAATTTAACCTGAAAATGTGTATCAAGGCGCCTGCTCAGGTTAACATGGCGAATTGAGTCTTTGAGTCTCTCTGTTTCGTTATTACATATCCGAAGTATCCAATAGCGGACTAGAAATGATGGTCCCAAGTGTGTGTAATGTCAAGGTTGTAGGTGTATTCTGTGCAGCCCAACCTTGCTGCCCCCCCACCCCCCTCCGCCTCCAGCAGCCCAACCTTGCTGCCCCCCCGCCTCCAGCTGTAGCCTTACCTCTCAATAACATACCGACCGCCTAGCCTCTTTCTTAGGACCTAGGTTTAATTATTAAAATACCAAACAAATCGAGTGTGATAGTATAATTCATGTGATAAACGAGAAGAATGATACTATCATTATTATATTTTCTTAGTTGTGATCTCGCTATCATAGCTCAGCAAAGGGAAGCCATCCTCATCAAATTTGGTATACCCCAATATTTCAAAATCTCTGCTATACTTATTGAGAATAATCTGTTTCTGTTCCTCGTTTAGACCAGCCCAATACTGATTAACAAAATCCATACTATCGTGCGAATCCGTACCCTGTTCTTTTCTTGACCCTGGATACTCAACATGCTCAGTTCCGGTCAGTTTCTGTATCAGTGGAATGTACCGTCCAACTTCTTCGATTTGAACCACCAGATCGTACGGGAATTGGCAGATACACATATTGTGCCACTGGGGTTGCAAATGCACATCCGACTCCTTTTCTTTGGGCAGTCTATTCTGTACGAACAGAGCAAAATCTTCACTGTCCGTGATATTTTGAGGAGCTTTGAAGTATTTGTTGTGTCGAAGTTGCTTGTCTCGAAATGCTGATACCACTCGAACTATTGGGTTTCTGATTGCCATGATCTTAACGTATTGATTGAAATCGGCCTCATTTTCGAAGAAATTTGTATTATACACCGTTTTATAGTGCCCCCCTGCATTTCGATGAAATTCGTGGTCCTCATCTGTTACACCATCAATACGAAACAGAAACTTTTTAAAACTAGTACTGCCAGTTTTAGGATTACTTCCATAGAGTATGTGATACTCTTTCTTTGCTATGAGTAATCGTGGCTTTAAAAACTTATCCCTGAAGTTCCAGACTGTCGATATGTTTCGTGCTGCACAGTTCTCTCTTATTTTAGCTAGAATTTTGTGAGACTTTTCCAGTGTATGTTTCTGGAGGTCGGTGAGTTCCGAGTTGTTAATGTGGTAATTGTTATCGTTGGCCGGCTCCACTCCTAATGTTGATGATTTATTCGTTGAAGCCTCTGTATCAGATATAAGGTTTTGATCTAAAAGTAAGGTCGTATTCTCTATTGAATCCGTGCTTTTACTGTTAAAGTTTCCCTGAACAGATGAAAACTTATCCTTTTCAGGTTGACTGTTGGTCAAAACTGATATTCCGCTCTGATCTTGATCGTGACTGTAATTAAATAGCAATAGCAGAAGTAGTCCTAAGGATATGCAAATTAGCACTAATGTCCGGTTTTCTTCCATCTTTCTAACCTGCATTATAATTTTTATAATGTTTAGCATTATTATTAATATTTTATGCATTAATTTTACCACTAAGGTAAATGTAAAAATCTGAGCGTTTTAAAAGGATACGCACAATGTACACGGTGAACGAAATGAAATTTAAAATTGGACAACAGATTTTATTTTCAGAACTGATAATAAGGTAACCCATTGTAGTGGCTCCTCATCAAATATTGTACTACATCATGTATAATTAATAGACAATGAACATGCATCTTCATGTCCATTGTCTATTAATTATTTGATCCAGTACTATCATTATCAATTATGGATAAGATGTGAAATAAAAAGGAGATAATTTAAAATAATCCACATGCTATCCTCTCGTGGGCCACCCAGCCAATTATCTAAGATGAAAATGTCCTCAGATTTTGAATATAATTACTCCTTAATGGTGTAAAATTGATTTGAAAATTTCTTACTTTGTCAAAAATCAAGTTTTAAAAACACTCAATTTGATGACGTCATCAAGTGATGATGATGACGTTAAATTATTTTTCAATACAATGTAAACTGAAGTTTAAACGATTATCTTTAAAACCTGTGGTTCGAGATGACTGTATCGTTTATACTTTTGGATATACGGACACTTAAATGTAGGCTACAATTGACTGCCAAAGCGTCTATACATACATATATATTATATAATAAATAGTTGTTGTTTGGTTTCCCAAAGAGAGTGCTCGACTGCAGTTAAGCAGGAGCATTATAATTCGAACAATTGAAACAAATCAAATTGGCGGGCAAACGATCCGTTTCATGATATGTATAAAAACAATCATCAGTGCCAAATAATGAATTGTAGCGCTATGACATGTTGCTCCTTTATAAAATAATTTTTATCGATCATGAAACATTTTCAAAATTATCAAAATTTACAAAATTTCCAAAAAAAAACAGTTTATTGTGTCCGTCCCAATTTTAAAATTGTCTATGAAGTAAGGTAGTAAGATATCTCTGGCTTTTAAAGTTGTAAACTGCGTTGGCCTTCGTGTAGTGGTAGAGGAAAATTCTTTACTGAGTTCCGTGAAGCTGGTAGAATTAGGATCCGTATTTGAGAGTTAATTGTTGATTCTGGTTATCAAACGAGAGTGCTCAACAACGACGAGTCGAAGGAGCATAACTAATAAATAGTTGTTGTTTGGTTTCCCAAAGAGAGTGCTCGACTGCAGTTAAGCAGGAGCATTATAATTCGAACAATTGAAACTTTACCTTGCCCCACCACGCCCCAGGAAGTGCTACTTCTCGTCTGTATAATATGTATTATTATGTCTGTGTATACTGAGTACAGACGGAACTTGGGGCACCGCCTTTAGTTTCATTACGATGGTGATGTTATTATTTAAGTGATGAAAAGGTGGATACTTGAGAATGTTTGAGTCGAATCACTCCGTTACGCTGCAATGATTCTTAGAACTTTAGAAAAGTCTTGAAATTATCGAGAAAGGCCACGTCATGAAATAGCGTAAATCCCCATTTACTGTTTGTGTGTTGACGAGATTCTCGACTCTATAATAACTATTTCAAGTACACATTTGACTAAGACTCCTCTCCTTTCAGTTGAAACACACATGGAGATCAACGAATTCAGAGCAGTCTCAGAACACGAGCTGCTTTCAGAACGCAGAATCCCCAAACCCAACTCCTACTCCTCCCTGCCTCAGTCTACTCAGAAAGATCACAGCTGGCACCGTAGGTTCCGAACACCCTTTCACCGGGGTGTAGCACGTGAGGGAGACGCTGCGCCGCACCAGTCCCTCAGCTTGCCCAGCTCTCGACCGGGATCCCGTCACTCACGTTCAAGCAGTCCCGATTGTATCACGAAGCAGAGGTCTAACTCACTTCGTCACGAGAGCAGGGAAGCCAGGAATCACGTGTTCATGCCGAGTTCCAACTCGTTACCAGGCCGGGAACACCAGGTTCAGTTGACGCGACACACCTCTCACGGCAGTGACAGCAGCCTCCCCAGCGGGACTAGCTCCCAACACAACTCCCTAAACAGGGTGTACAGTGCCCCCGCTACTGCCCCCAGTAACGAGACACCAGGGGAGGTTAGACCCATTACCGAGACCGTGGTTACTCCACCTCAGCCCGCCGAGGAGGAAACTCCACCCACCACCTACACTCAGTATCAGCCTCAAGTTCGACACACCATGCCTCGTAACACTCCTGGGAACCCGCCTCGTATAACCCGCGTCGTCCCTCGTCTCCCAGCCTCCTACTCGACCCATACCTACACCAATATCCCACCCTCGCCCACCACCACGGCTTGTTCCACCCCTTCCACCATCACTCCCTCCACCTCAGTCAGCGAGGACTGGACCGACCATGGAAAACAAGAGCGACATGCTGTACCCCCTCTTAAGAAAGACTGTTTAGTTGTTCACAGCAAACTCGACACTATGGGCACCTTGCTCACCATGCCCTGGTTCCATAGCCAGATATCGCGCACCGAGGCCGCTTCTCACGTCACCATGGGGGGCATCGACACCCACGGACGCTTCCTCATTCGCAAATCCGACACTAAACAAGGAGAACTCGTCCTTACGTTCAACAACGAAGGAGCCGCCAAGGTTTGTTATTTCTCATTATTATTTGTTAATGTCCAATATAACGTGTGCGTGACTCGTACCTTGAAATTATAACGGGTTGCTCACTCACATCTGAGGTTTCAGACTCGTCACGCACCACGGAGCCCAATGAACGGCACACACTCACTCACACAGTCACACCGAGAGAGATATTCGACACGAAAAATATATAATTTTATTCGTTTTCAGAAAAACAATTAAATACCGAAGCTGTAGAAGTTAGCTGAGAAGTGAAAAGTGTACACAAACACATTTAACCTAATTTAAACGTGTCTGTGCGTCTAGACACACAATATCACAGCCTGTATAATTCTAGCATATATAAATACATGTATCATAATATTACGTCTATAATATAATCACATTACTACCCGATATTGTTATGCTGGGAGAGTATATTTAGGTTAAAGGAGGTCGTTAGTTCCACGCAACTTATCCTCTGTCATTAGCTCCTCCCATCCTATGAAATACATATTATCAGTTCCCAATCCAGCTTGGCAGGGTCCTCTCCCCCTGTTTTTATCCCCACCCCCTAATTGATCGAGGCATGGTGACGATATGGTAATCAATCGAAATAGAAAGCCCTGAAACTTACAACCTCGATTTAAACTTTCAAAACCACGGTTCACTTTCAAGATCACCAGCATTGCATTAAACCCCTTCCTTTAATTGTTCCGCCCGACTAAAATCCTAAACAAAATAACCGAAGTGCCGCACCGCAGTCCCCTGCTCCTGCAGTGCTCCTGCACCACAGCGATCTGCACCACAGCGATCGTAGCTTTCTGACATGTGGGATGATACGTACACGCGTATATAAATTTCAAATAATTTTCGAGATGCATTCTTTAAAATCGTTCATGTTTATCGAGTGTAACGAGCACACGAAGGAATGTATTGAGAAGAGGGCGTGGCTGTGCATGCTTGGTAAATATGTGGCAACTCAGAGCTAGCTTGGCAGTTTATTTGGTTAATCAATTCTTGAATCTGGGATAATTAGCGACGGAGTTTGATAAGGAGGTGAGGTGTGTAACTTTGCCACCAGGGGATGGGATTGAGAGAAGGAACCACTGGTTGGTGGTGTCAAATCACGTACACAGTCATGAACATGAGGTGATGGAATATTCTAATATTCTAATATTTTTTTCCCTGCAAATTTAACATGACTTCCTGTTAAGGTGTGTAATATATCACGGTGTGAATGTTATAGGAGTTCGGGCTCAGCTAGAATGGGATAAACTTCATCATAGCCCTCAATTACATTATTTAACCTTCTTTGTTCTAACTGGGTCCTGGCATGTCATTTCCAACCACCCCCTCCTTCCAAACCCCTCCTTCCAAACCCCTCACTCCAAACCCCTCCTTCCTTTCATATTCCCTCCCTCGCTCTGTCCCTAACCTTCTTTTTCAGCTCCCTCTCACCCTTCCTAAATTTTCCTCCCTCAAGTCATCTCCCTCTACTTTTCCCTCCACTTCCCTCCACTTCCCTCCACATCTCTCTCTACTTCCCTCCACATCTCTCCACATCTCTCTCTACTTCCCTCCACATCTCTCCACATCTCTCCACCTCTCCCTCTACTTTTCTCCACTTCCCTCCACATCTCTCCACATCTCTCTCCACTTCCCTCCACTTCCCTCCACCTCTCCTACTACTTTTCCCTCCACATCTCCCTCTACTTCCCTCCACCTCTCCTTCTACTTTTCCCTCCACTTCCCTCCACTTCCCTCCACCTCTCCTACTACTTTTCCCTCCACTTCCCTCCACCTCTCCTTCTACTTTTCCCTCCACTTCCCTCCACCTCTCCTACTACTTTTCCCTCCACTTCCCTCCACTTCCCTCCACTTCCCTCCACCTCTCCTTCTACTTTTCCCTCCACTTCCCTCCACCTCTCCTACTACTTTTCCCTCCACTTCCCTCCACCTCTCCTTCTACTTTTCCCTCCACTTCCCTCCACCTCTCTCCCCCAAATATTTGCTTTAAACACAAGGTGTGAAACTTCTCCAAACTTCCAAACATAGGATGTAGAATAGGTAAGCTGCTGGTCTGTACACATCATGTTATTTTGGCGGGAAGCAAGGGAGGAGGGGGGGGGACAAGCTGCTGGTCTGTACATGTTATTTTGGCGGGAAGCAAGGGAGGAGGGGAGGAGGGGGTGTAAAGCCACGGGGCTTGATTACTTACATGCTATCTCGTGTGTGGATCTCTCAAGCAGCGAGCTGGTCTACCCAACTTTCTTGTTGATTAACATTTAATGTGTGTGGGGTGAGACCACGTTATTATTACTACTGACCGCCAGCTCCTCTCAACAAATCTGATAAATTTAGCTGATATTGTACTGTACGCAGCATGCAGCATGCAGCAGCCCACATCTCAGTAAGTTATCAGGGTCCCTGCTGCTGGTGAGTCTGAAGCCATACAGCTCCCTCTAAATGTTAGTCCCATCGACTAGCAAACTGGGCCGATGAAGCCTTGAAACTTTCCGATCAAGAGTTTAACAATGAATTACTGTAAAGATGAACAAGTAACCCTCGTACTGTTCCAGTATTCTGACACGCATCTTAGTTATCCTTGTACTAAAATAGATACATTTAACTTCAACGACAAGTCAAATATCAAGCATCTTTAATACAGATGACAGGCCTGATTTAATTCGTGCAGTCTAAGTTTAGCAGGAGGGATAAACGCCCAAAAGTTGTAATTCTCCACATCACACTGTTAATAAAAGCTTGCTAATCCACATGCACATTAAAATCATTACGTGACGTGTAACTAATTCCAACTCACACCAAAATCAGGCTAACACCGCCTCCCTTCTCACAGCATCTGCGAATGAAGGTGACGGAAACGGGGTGCCAAATCCAGCACCTCAGTTTTGGGAGCGTTGAAGAAATGATCGAACACTTCAAAAGAAACCCAATTCAGTTGGACAACACGACCCTCGATACTTCGTGTCACGAGGTGTATCTCAGCGACTTCATACCCTCCGATCTTCAGTAAGTAAAATAATACATCTCTTACTTTTGACATGTACTAATAATAGTAGTATTAATAGTACTAATTTGTAAATTTAATTATATTTTTCTCCGATAAATCTCCCGTCAGCTCTCCCCCACGTACATACAGAAAATAAGACAGCTCACTGAATCCTAGCGTTACAGTATGAGAATAAGAGTCGTAATAAAATAGTTATCCCTGCAGCAGCAGCCTGCCGATTAGCCTATAGGGTGTCATGATACGCCTGCATCCCGCCTAGTTTTTGTTCTTCACCGACCCTTTGTACTTTACGTTGAGGCAATAATAAAGTTTTCAGGGTTCATGTCTTTTGATGTTGGTAGGCTTCTCCCTCGTTATACCCCAGGACGTTTAATCGTAAAACTACCCGCCGTGCTAGTCAGTTAGTCATTGTGCATGACGCTATAAAAGATGAGCGTCTCAGCCCCTGAAGACAAGTCTAACTCTCTCTCTAAACTCTAAACTCTAAACTCTAACTCTAACTCTAACTCTCTCTCTAACTCTAACTCTAACTCTAACTCTAACCCTGAAGACAAGTCTAACTCTGCTCTAAACTCTAAACTCTAACTCTAACTCTAACTCTCTCTCTAACTCTAACCCTGAAGACAAGTCTAACTCTCTCTCTAAACTCTAACTCTAACTCTAACTCTAACTCTAACTCTAACCCTGAAGACAAGTCTAACTCTCTCTCTAAACTCTAACTCTAACTCTAACTCTAACTCTAACTCTAACTCTAACCCTGAAGACAAGTCTAACTCTGCTCTCTAAACTCTAACTCTAACTCTAACTCTAACTCTAACTCTAACTCTAACCCTGAAGACAAGTCTAACTCTCTCTCTCTCTCTCTAAAACCTTCATGTCCCTCACTCCCTCGCAATATAGTCGGCTATAACTGCACACAAGGTGGCACTTCACACTTTCAGTCAACTCCTAACAAAAGAGACGTGGTATTTCTCCAGAGTTGGGTTAGTGTCGGGATGGTTTGACACTTGGTAGTAGGAGGAGTGCTTACTATCTAGGGTTTTCATTGTGTTGTGGATTTTACAGTGGGCTCTCTAACGATCTGACCGTGTTTGTCTGATCCGCTATCTCTATCTATCTCTCTCTCTCTATCTCTCTCTCTGATCCGCGGCCTTTGGGAGAGTTTAGTTATTAGCGGCATTATGATATTTGTATGCCGTTATTTTCTTAATAATACTCAGGATTGTACGTATTCAATGATTACAATGCAACTCATCCTGGCTTTTAAAAGCGGATAATAGCTAGATATACTGTGCGGAGAGTTTGCTAACAAGTTTTAATAGCGGGCGCGGCCAGCTCATACTGTGCAGTGTGCAGCAACTTGAACCGCTCAAACTTGAATGGGAATCTTCCAGTAACAGTTACGTATTGCACAAAAAAATGTGATGATGCTTCTTTTTGTGATCATAATAAAGTCTACAAAAAGAACAATCGCCCCTTTATTAAATGTAATAAACATGATCGAGTGCTGGGATTCCAGAATAATCATGACTGAACTGCTATTAGAAGGACAAAGTGTGTTTCTTTGTTCCCCCTCCATTAAGAACCCGATAAAATAAGGTGCCCCGCAAATCAGGTAGCCTGCCTCCGAGTACCACCCCACCTAGTACCACCTCCCACTTGTGGAGCTGGAGCCAGATAATTGGAGGTGGTTGTAAGTGAGCAGGGACCCATATTATAGCGGCGTGTAGCGAGCGAGGGCAGGTGTGTACTGTGTAGCGAGCTGAGCGGGGTAGCGAGTGAGCAGGGCCCGGGGTATCATCTAGCGGCGTGTAGCGGGCTGAGTGAGGGCAGGTGGGGCGGCGATAATTACCTCATTAACACTTCTACCAAATCATATTAAATAAACTCTCTCCCCTCTGAATAAGAGCCTGTTGTAATACCACACACTGCCCTGATAAGTCCTTATCGTGCTCAGCTGGATTTGGTGTACAATGTTTACCTTGAAATTACTATGATAAGGTTTGAAAATAAGGCGGTTTCAATGACATATTAAGGTTTTTTTTGTTGCCAGAAAATGTTAAAAGCTCGTTTTCAGAGTCATATCAGCGTAATCCTTTTAGGAAATATTCTGGTGCAGTGCGATAACACAAAATCTGCTTCTCCCCCTCCCATAATATCCACTCACTGCAGTAGTGGGTGTGGCCCTGCACTTTTCTCCACCCCCACTCTCTCTCTCTCTCTCTCTCTCTCTCTGCAACTCCTACAAACTAGCTGCACAATCTAATTAAGTACCGCACATTCCAGAGAGATAAGCGGTGTAAGCTTGTAGTGGCTGAGCAGCAGGACAATCACCGCTTCATTGCACTGCTGGAGAGAGAGAGAGAGAGAGCACTGCTAGATACTTGTACAATACGAGAGAGTGTGTTGTTGTAGTGCTGTGAGATCATCATCTTGTACTCCTCCTCCTCCTCCTCCTCCTCTTCTGCTTATCATGTCTACTCCTACAGACTCCTCTGTAGGAGTACGGGGGAGAGCTTGACAGGGCGGTTTTTTTAGACGCACTGTTTCATGAAATGTCAAGAAATGTTGGTCGGTTTCATGAATTGTAAAGAAGTATTGGTCAGAGAACCAAGTAAACATGCTGGCCTCTCAAACTCTTGCAATTTATGTCGTTTAAATACCAAGTTTACTGACTGTTACATGTTTTTGCAGAGACGAAGGGACACCAGTGCCATCCGTTTCAACATCATTCTTCCCAGTAAGTTCACGCCTTTTTCTTCTTTTAATTTCTTTTTAATTCAATTAAAACTTTTCATATAAATAACTTTTTTAGAAGCATGAAATCATAAGTGAAACCAAGTTGTTTGAGCAGTATTAACTTGTCATGTGTTATCAATGTGGGCTCGTCCCTGAGTTTTATCCAGATAGTATCTCATATCTAGTCTATCAGTTTATCCAGATAGTATTTCATATCTAGTCTAGCAGTGTATCCAGATAGTATCTCATATCTAGTCTATCAGTTTATCCAGATAGTATCTCATATCTAGTCTATCAGTTTATATATCCAGATAGTATCTCATATCTAGTCTAGCAGTGTATCCAGATAGTATCTCATATCTAGTCTATCAGTATATCCAGATAGTATCTCATATCTAGTCTATCAGTATATCCAGATAGTATCTCATATCTAGTCTATCAGTATATCCAGATAGTATCTCATATCTAATCTAGCAGTGCATATATATCCAGATAGTATCTGACCTACAAACCTAAAAAAGCAGCCTAACAATACGAACCCCACCACTTGTAACGCGGATAATATAACATTGATAACAGAGACATTAGACAACTCCCCTGTTACTCTACTGTACATGCCAGCAAGGTACTGACACACAGCAAATGTGTTAAACTAGCGGCTATTCTGCCACCAGTCCCGCCCTTAAACTCTCCAATAAACCTGTTACTCCACTGTATTATATAGTATGTAACCCGCATATTATAATAATATATTGATATTGTTACTGTTACCATGTTTACTGGTTGACAGTATGCTGATAAGCAGTCGCATAATGCTGTTATGTGCATATTATTGTGTCTACACGCATTCTCATGGGTTCCCCGATAGGGACCACTGCACTTGTTAAATATAGTGCCTGGGAGAGCAGGACCACACAATTTATAGTTTTACTGGGCAGTAAATTTGAGGTTCTGGGCGGATCTGTTTTAACTTAATAAATCAAGTCATGAGCTATTGTGGCAAACTAAGAAGTGAGATAGCTGTGCTGTTGATCTTCATCCGTACGCGTATAGATGGGTTCTTATTTCAGCTGATCTAGATTTAAGTTTTTATACCATCTGAGATCCAAAACGGTCCGATCTCGCATTATTTAGGTTGCTGATTTGTTCAATGTTTACCTTGAAATTACTATGATGAGGTTTGAAAATAAGGGAGCTACACAACAACCGAGTAGAATGATGAATGTTAGGATGTAGAATGACTAATCCCTAGTGTATACCAAACTTTAAAATTGAGTAGCACACCAAACAACAGCTACCAACTCCACGCATCGGCAGAGGAGTTGGTCTTCACAATTTAAGATTGGTCTAACTTTAAAGTTGGTCTTGTCTTACAGTGGATTCAACATTAAAGTTGGTCTCCTCCGCAAAACTCTGTGTCTAAATGCTTGGTCTAACGTTTCAGGACAGACTGACTAGTAGTCTAATAAGTGAATCTGTTATCACAGTATGATTGCTAGCTACTAGATCTAACATTTCATCTTCAGTAAGTCCCGCTGTATTCCGCTCTATTCGGCTTAGTACTCTATCTGCGCCCTCATGTCTTATAACTCGTAACGTGTAATGTGATTGGTATTAGTTGTATTGTTTGTATATGTTTTGTAAATAAACTACTCCATACTTTCCTTGATTAACTGATCAGCTCCAATTTGTTTTAGTAACCTGTGTTGGGAACCTGTGTTAGTAACCTGTGTTGGGAACCTGTGTTTTGTGTTTCGGTTCCTTCGTGTGTACATCTGATTCAACTGTTGTTCCAATTTCTTGTTTGTCATGTTTAAAGTTTTTGACGTTTAAAATAACCTTCAGCTGTACAATTATTATTATTACTGTGTAGAAATCACAACCTGATCATTACCTGTGCTGATCAGCTGACCTGTTTTCCAGAGCTGAGCTTTTTGTGTTATCCACAATTATTTAGGATGTCAGGATCTGGAACCTTCCCTGATCTTCCCATAATATGCAACATGTAACCCTGATTATCCCCTCATTTGGTCCTCCCTAGTCCCTGTCGACACTTATTTTACTGCTAAATTTTAAAACCATGTTGGAGTCGGCATTATACCTCGACTGTCAAATTCAATCTGTCGTAAATAAATGCGGTGCCGTATATTTAAAATGCACATAAAAACAGTTAAAAACAGTTAAAGTGTAGATAGTAGATACGAGTGTTAATTTGGTATTGACAGTCCAGTATGGAAGAGTCGAGAATAAAGTAATGAATGTATTGGTTTATCATCTTGATGGTTCAACACTAATTGGTGTTTTACAGTATTTGATTTCAAGATAAGTCCAGTATCTTCTGAATTAAACCCACCATCTTCCTCCTCTCTCTCTCTCTCCTCTGAAAACACATTATAAATCGCGACTAAAAGCTCGCTCCGTGCAACCCGCACTATTTTAGCGGGGACTTATAGCTTTATAGTGAAAAACTCTGAAAACATGTGTGTTATAATGTTATTTCTGGTGCAATCAGGTTGTGTGTTGTACACAACTCCGCAAGCAATACACTCCTTAGTGGAGAGTGTACGGGCCTCCAGATCACCAGTCCCACCAATGAACAGATTTCTCACAACACATACACAACTTTTAGTTAACACACAGTTACAGATAGTAGCCACCCACCTCCCCACTAATCACACATCCAGACATTCTCACAATGTTCTTTTCTTCCTCAATCTGTCCCTCTTGATAATTAACAGTCTGTAACATCAGTTCCTCACACTCGCCCGTTAATCTGTGTGTAAAATGTACGGTCTGTGTGTGTGTGTGTGTGTGTGTGTGTGTGTGTGTGTGTGTGTGTGTGTGTGTGTGTGTGTGTGTGTGTGTGTGTGTGTGTGTGTGTGTGTGTGTGTGTACAGGACATGATTACAGTTAGAAACTATGTGAAATATGTGAAAATGTTGCACTGAAAACTGTAGTACGGCTTGTCAGGAATGAGAGCGGATGTTTTACAACATTACTTATAATATTACTAATATTACTAATATTTCTAATAATATCCTCCGCACGTTTACACCGTGCGTGGGCCTGGTGGGATGGAAAAGAGGGAAGTGCTAAATATGCTGTCCCAGTCCTCATTCAATTGAACTGCTGGTTAATTCGGTTGGTGGGGCCCATAACGAACTAATGCCCTCTGCATTTCACCCCTAGTGGCACCCTGCCTTGCAGCCAAATAACACGACTATGTTCACTGAGTCGGTATTTAAACGTTACCCATCATTACGTAGCACAGTGCAGTCTCCTGTCTTTCACGCCAGCTTCTATCTTCTAGCAATTCATTTTGGTAGTCACATTACATTTGGGTAGTCACATTACGTCACCGTCAGAGCCCCACCACATCTCCAATCTGGTCTCCAGAGTTTGACGTCAAAGTTACCAGAGTTTCTCTCTACTCACCAAGCTAAACTTGAGCTTCTCCAGCGTGCTTTTCTCTAATCTTAGTTCTGCTAATATAACAAGGACGCTATTCGAGAGAGTACAGTAATTTATCACAGTAAAGCAGGATCACGTGACGTGACGTCACAACACGTGACATGACGTCACAACTATTCGTGTCACGTGTTCTCCCACTGTCTAGAGAGAGAGAGAGAGGGTAGAGAGGTAGCTGCCGCCATTGCGTCTGCTCGTTGTAGTAGACAGAGTGCGGTCATCTCCCTGAGTATGAAGACACAGCCGTGTCACACACACACACACACACACATACACACACACACACACACACACTCAGCCGGGTGTGTGATAGGAACCGGATCTGAAATAGCCGGCAAATTCATATCCAGAGAGATGTTTGGGAGCCTTCAAAGAGGGCAGTTTAGGTGGAGCCCATTAGGGGCTTATTTCTGTAATGAGCCTCTATATTATATATCTGTACAATCGCTTTGTATTTGATGGATCACATTTCACCTCCATTTCACTGCTTCATATCAATGTTCTTCTCTTCGTTTGAGGTCCAATTCCGGTTATATACCAGTATATTATTATATCAGCTACTGAATAATTGATGTGCTGCTGGAATTTGGGGATTAAGGTGGATCATCCATTAATTATTTATTGACCACTCTTTCTGTTATGTCAACATATTTGAAATAGCGGAGATCATCCCCACAAGTTGTATATATTAAGTCAGAGTGAGGTTAATAATTACTTTATAAACCTCACAAGTAGGAGAGGTAATTACAATCTTCAGTTGCATTAAGCTCCTTCATTAAGATTTCCATTATATTTCTGGCCCCTGTATGATTTTGTGCACCGCTTTTAACCGCACTAATTAAGGTGAATCTGGCTGTTTAAGAGTGAAATAAAGCGGGACCTGGAAAATCCTGCACTCTGATACACGACCTAATTAGGGGTCTCAACCCATCCATTTAGATTGTGGTTTTTAATTACACACTTCCTAGTCCCCGTAGTCCTCCTCCTCCTCCTTTTTACACTCAGTAAGCTGTAACCTCGCACAGACCTCCCTTACTGCGGTGCTGCATTGTACGGAGTTGTGGCCAGTATGTCTGCTGAAGAGTAGCACGTGGTACTGAGTGCCACGGAACGAAAACACTAATTGCCGCGTCAAGACTTGGATTATATCAAAAAGGAAAAACAGACATAAGGCTTTGGAGACTCAGAGAGTTGTAAGAGTTTTTTAGGGATTCAAGGTTAAATGAGAAGGCGGAGAAACTTGTTAAATACGAGTACAGTGAGCCGGCGTACATTTAATATGTCTGTACCAATACTTGTTGACTTTCGGAATCACGTCCTTTTAGCAGCATATCAACCTTGAAATAAGATAATTCCGCAGGGCTTGGTCAACAGCTCATTGAGCTACATGACATAAGCTTAGCCTAAAAAGTTTGCTTTCAGAGCTTGTATTAATATCAAATTTCCCTTGTCCTAGCAAGTAAGGCATAATGACTGTCACCCGAAATTTGTATGCAATCAATAAATGGGGGGCTGTATTAAAATGCGGGGTGTGGTTATAGCTATTAGAGATGGTATGGAGTTGGCTGCTCTCTCTCGTTTGGGCGTGTTGAGCCTGATATTTAATATGCCTTTATACTGTAACCTAATCATGCCAGGGAGCTTTGCAAAATATTATAACTTTTCATGGCTCACGTCCCAGTTTCTGTGAGTTCTCTGGAAATGATGAAAAGCTTTACAGACCTTATCATCGAACCGTTAATTTATGTGTTTGTGTCAGGGTGTGTTGAAAATAAGTAATGTGAGTATGTGTGTGTACCGCATCGTTAAGTAAACAGTTGGGCCTATTTCACTGTTTATACTTATCACAAATGATAAACAAACATTCCTTTTCAGCAAAATGTACCAGAGCGGGGCGTGACAAGTTCGCCAAGTGAGCGGCCCCCGAGTCTGTCCCCGATCGATCGTGGTGTCCTTTCTCCCGTGGACAGACCTCGCAGCAGAACGCCACCAGCACGACCCCCTCGTAATGACCAACGGGTTTACAAGGGCACTTCTTCAAGAGTGTAGTTGCTCAACAGTACCGCATTGATTTGCGATTCAAAAACTTTATTCAGATTCAGATATATTAGGAAACTGCTTGACGAAGTTTCAGCAGGATTTGACGTCCAACCGCTTCAGTAGGGCGTGGACCCGGGACTATTTATTAAAACTGTATGGAAAGCGCGGACATGATTTGGTTGATGAAAACGCGCTTTTTTAGTGCTACATGAGTGCCGTGCAGGCTTGCGCGCACTGTAGAAATTTGTTACAACGACAAGGATTGTTTTCTTTTCTGGAGGGCGTGTTTGCACGCACAAGTATTTCGACCAGGGTGTTGAGTAAATACACGAATTAAATCTTAATTAAACGACTGATTTATAACTCCGAAACAGTGATATTTGTATTAAAACATAATGGATCTAACTTTTAGGCTCTTTTATATCAAAATTTTGAGTCTTGTTTTTTATTCTCACTAACGCACCCGTCCTTTAATGTTCATTCATGTTAGATTGTTGTCTTTCATTAAAGTACAATTGAAACAAAATAGTTGTAAGAATTGTAAAAACAAGATTTGTGAAATGAAAAGTAAAAATACGGGGCTGATGTGAACTGAGTATATATTATCATATTTGATATTTGTTTCAAGCAATCTAAGGAATGCACTAACAAGTTATTCTATCAGAGAATGCGGTGAAAAGTGTTTTTAGCCAAACAGAGAAGTTGAATTTCGTCATCAAAAGAATAGTACGCACTAAAAAGCTAAGAAATTAGTTGGAGGACTTCGCCGCTTCGACGCGAACTAGCATTCTTGCTTCGCATCGTCGATCGTTGCTCTGCTTCGCAGAGCAACGATCTGGATGGGTTGACATCGTCAACCAAGAAATTAGGTTCAAGGTTGTAGGTTTGTAACCTACCAACTCCAAGACGCGCGCCGAGTTGGACTCGTCGACGGTCTTGAAGTTGAAACAATATTTGAAACAAATATTTTACGAGTATCGCCCGTTAAAAATTAGGCTGGGCACCAAAAGTAAAATAGGTACCCACTACCCAAGTATGAAGTTAGCAAAATGGCTTGAACTAAAAAACTGAGCTCAGCTCCTGTAATAAAAGTTGCCATTCAAATAATTAAAAATAAATTAGCACAATTTAAATCAACAACGAAACATTATGTGATACTGATAGTCGTTCAGTTTAAAATTAAATTGGATAGAATAACATTCAAGCTCCTGCAGCTGTGCCAGTACATATTGTGTGTTACTCGTCATTGTCATCGTTACGCTCTGGGGCCTCCAGCTGCATGATCTTCATATTTTTAAACTTCTTGTTAAAATGTGACATGTCTTGGGGTGTAAATAAGATGTATTGACGCCGCTGTTGGTTCTGAACAGCATGCTCTACCAGCAGCTTCATGGCCACTTTACGGTTCATCAGATCCTGAAACAGGTAGGTTTGAGGTTGTAGAGCTTAGTTACAAGTTAGGTAATGGTCGTTAATCTAGGTCGGTTCTACTATTTATCCCAACTAATACTTATATATTAGTATTAGTAGGGATGATAGAGATTGATCCGGTTTTTGAGATAAACAATCTAGTAGTAGTACGAACTTAACCGGTGATACTCGTAAAATATTTGTTCCAAATATTAAGATGCGCGACGAGTCCAACTCGGCATGCGTCTTGGTAGATTATTAACCTAAAAGTACCAACTTAATTTTGATGGTTCATGAATTAGTAACAATAATGAAGGCATAAAACATAAGCTAATTTGTAATTAAACTTAAAACTTAAGAGGGTAAACATTTTGATAAGGTTTTCATCAAAATAACCAGACGACCACAACTAACCATGAAAACATCAAACTCGTCGAGACACCGAAATGGAGATTCCATCAGGTTCCAAAGACTGCAGATGAAGCAGACAGTTGAGAAAGATCTCTCACCGCCGGACAGTGATCGCACGTCGTGTATGTCCTGCGAGGCACCGCTCGTATCCACGTTCAGTTTCATCTCCAACACCTTCTTTTCGTGGTCTACCTATTGTAAAACTTATGGAGTAAAATAGCCAATTTTGGTAGTCAGACTGGTAATTTTCAGGGATTTATGGTAGGTTAGATTTATTTATGGTTGGGTGTTGGGGTAGGGCTTTGGTTAAGCTACTGCTTCACAATCCGGAGCGAGTGGTTTTTTTCAATTACTGGCGACCGATTTTTCGATTTACGAGCTGTTATGAACTGCATTTTTTTCGTACCATAAATAGCCTAAATTGAACTTAAAATGAAAAATAAAAGTTTTTCGTAAACAGGTCTAGGCCTCATCACTACTATTAAAAATATTAAAATGATCGGTTATCTCGCACTAACCTTGAGTTTGCCAGTATAGCCCCTCTGACTCAGGTTCATTATAAAGAAGTAGTTTATTCTCTTAGAAATCTCTTTTCTGAACCTGAAATACCTTTCCTCCCGCTCCTTCAAAATCTCCTGCAGGTCTCCGCTGAACTTTCTCATCTTTTTAACCATTGTCTGAATGTCCTCGAATTTCGTCTTCGCGTCGTGAAACCTACAAGTTCAAAATCATGGTGGTTTGTGGTTAGCTATTTGTTTATATCGAATTGAACAGGCCGTAAAATGGGAGAATGTTAACCTAAACCTAGCAATTGATGAAGAGTTGTCAACCTAGCAATCGATGAAGAGGTGTTGACTAACCTGCGGGTGATGTTGTCTACGTTGACGGTGGAGGAAGACCCTTGCTGTATCCTCAGCTCCATGTTTCTAATCTGCTGCTCCAGATCTTTGGCAGATCGTCGTGTGTCAACTCGAGGACAGCGCTGCTCGGCCATTCCTTGTGCCTCTGAGTGGGGTGGATGATGATTAATCACTCTACACTCGACTGTCACGTGACTTTTTCAACCCCTTCTCTAGCTGGTCCTGAACGACTATTCGAAACCCTAACCTTCTAATCTGATCCCAACCCTAACCCTAACCCAATCCTTAACAAAAGCATATGCTGAAACTCTAACCCTAACTAGATATTAGACTAACTTCCTTATACGGTCATATCACGTGATCGAAACAGTATTTGCCAATATCTCGGCCATACCCTGTGCCTCTGAGTAGGGTGGAAGTTTACAGGTACCACTACCAGGTAAAGTTGAAGTAGACAATGTTTTCATGGATTTTATCATTCACGCTGAAGACTTCAGCGAGTATGTTTTAAAGTAGGATATGGTATTTCTCTAGCCTACAACATTTTCAGGGTAGATAGATGAATTCGTGGAATGACAAACCTGAGATTTCCCGTTTTTTAGCAGTCAGCTCAGCATTGAACCTCTTCTTCTCGGTGTTGACCTCTTTCTTCTTCCTCTTATACTTCTCCAGCACGTCTAACAGTTGGGTGTTTTTCTTCTGCCCCTCGTGCATCTTTCCCTTTAACTCTTCCAATCTTACGTGGAGAGGGAACAGTAAAACTAATGACAGTTTAAAATATTCATTCAAATGTATCTGGAAGTTATAAAAATAACCAGTAATTTAAGGTTCGAGATTTGAATTACTCGGGCCCAGCAATGTACTTGCCAGTGTTTTATAATGTACCTGTTGGTGATGTGACTATCCCGCTCAGTGTTTTATAATGTACCTGTTGGTGATGTGACTATCCCGTTCAGTGTTTTATAATGTACCTGTTGGTGATGTGACTATCCCGTTCAGTGTTTTATAATGTACCTGTTGGTGATGTGACTATCCGGTTCAGTGTTTTATAATGTACCTGTTGGTGATGTGACTATCCCGTTCAGTGTTTTATAATGTACCTGTTGGTGATGTGACTATCCCGCTCGGTACTCTCAGCGTGTCTCTTGTTTGCCTCCTCGTGTTCTTGCTTCAAAGTCTCTTCCTTCTCAGCTAGACCCTCCTTTTCCTCGTTTATATTGTTTATCTGTTCTCCGTACTGACGCATCTCATCTTCAAGCGCTGTAGCGTCCAGCAAAGGGGCCTGGGAAAAGGAGTGTTAGCACACGGGATTGAGGATTATGGAGGTTCACATATCCGAAATATCTTCAAATGATTGCGAATAAAATCTTGTCTGTTGCTGTTAAGGCTCAATAACGACCAAGGAATTGATCCAATTTCAACCGTATACCCTGGCACATGCAACACTTTTATTTTTCGTCAGTTTTTAACAGGTAAAAATCTCTAAACCATCGATTAGCCGTAATTATTGTTACCTCGTCCACATTGTCGAGCTCAATAATCCTGTTCCTCACATTCTCCAGTTTCCTTTTAATGGCCTGCTGTTTCTTCTTCTCAGTGTTGTACTGTGCCCGGATATCGTTTACCTCCTTCTCTACACCACCCTTGTTTTGCCTCTGGATAGAACTCTGTTCACGAAGCTGACGGATCTTGTGGTTTATCTCCTCTATCACCTGACTTGGATCATCCTGAAAGAATTATAAGTAATGCACTGTCTGTTAAACCATCTAATAATCGATATTTTATATTTCGAGAAAATAACAGAATTGTCGGGCGTTTGGGATTTAAAAAATAATAACTGCGAAAATAAAAGCGCCAACTGCTGAAATATTGAAACTCAAAAAGAGACAAACCCTAAAGTAGCGGTTGTTTTTAGTTGGATCGTTAGAGTAGGCCCCCCTAGCCCTGACATCGTCTCCGGCCAGGGTCCAGGCGTTGTGCACGCGCGGTGGAGCATGTCCAATAATCAACATACGGGCCTCCTCACTTGACTCTATCAGTAGACTCTGTTCCAGACGTGCCTGGGGGGACCAGTTCTTAATTGGACCAACTTTTAAATATAAGTTGACACATTCTTAAAAAACAAGAATTCAAGAACAATTTTAATAAACATATCTTCAAAAGTCGATTAGTCTATAATACAAACAAAAATGTGAACAAAACCATGATGTTATCCAGCTAATATCAAATTCAAAATTCCGTATATTCTATTTTCATACCTGCTCAACAAGGGCGTTACTGATCACATGGTCATCAATATCCAACATATCGTACATAGTGGGATGTCCTGTCTGAGGCTTCTGAGAGCTCACATCGTAAGCTTCGTCCCTGAACTTCATCATGATCATGTTAGGGTGTTCCCGGGGGTTGGAGCAACTCTTCCGGAACAGATCCTGGAGTACCAGTTTATCGTGTTGGTCGTGGACTACGAAGTTAACCGCAAGTCCACCGATTGCCAGTTCGATCACGTTGGCCCATTTTGGATCTTTCACCTTCATGTGCAAACCTGGTTAGTGGTTATAAAATTTAGATATTATCGTGGTTGCAGGTGTTACCATGGCAACACTACTAGTTACCAGGGTTACACCACTAGTTACCATGGCAACACCACTAGTTACCAGGGTTACACCACTAGTTACCATGGCAACACCACTAGTTACCATGGCAACACAACTAGTTACCAGGGTTACACCACTAGTTACCAGGGTAACACCACTAGTTACCAGGGTTACAACACTAGTTACCAGGGTTACACCACTAGTTACCATGGCAACACCACTAGTTACCAGGGTTACACCACTAGTTACCATGGCAACACCACTAGTTATCATGGCAACACAACTAGTTACCAGGGTTACACCACTAGTTACCAGGGTTACACCACTAGTTACCAGGGTAACACCACTAGTTACCAGGGTTACAACACTAGTTACCAGGGTTACACCACTAGTTACCAGGGTTACACCACTAGTTACCATGGCAACACAACTAGTTACCAGGGTTACACCACTAGTTACCAGGGTAACACCACTAGTTACCAGGGTAACACCACTAGTTACCAGGGTAACACCACTAGTTACCATGGCAACACCGCTAGTAACCAGGGTTGCACCACTAGTTTCCAGGGTTACACCACTAGTTACCAATGGCAACACCACTAGTTACCAGGGTTACACCACTAGTTACCATGGCAACACCACTAGTTACCATGGCAACACCACTAGTTACCATGGCAACACCACTAGTTACCAGGGTTACACCACTAGTTACCACCTTCATGTGCAAACCTGGTAATTTAGATATTATTGTGGTTGCAATTTGGCTGGCAATCCAAAGCTCCAGCATTGTTCTCTCGACCAAGGAAAGATAAACAAATGAAAATCAATCTGTAAAAAAGAAACGCCATTAATTTGCCAAAATATACATTTGTATTGCTTGTTCGGTCTTTCCACCAATAATATCGATCAAAAACGAAATTATACAAATGACCCAAAACTCACCAAACGGTCCTCTCGGTTTTTTGTTGAATCTGTTGAGTCTGTCAGCCTCGTCCACTTTCCTGAGAAGGTCAGGCATGAACCTGCCAAAGACACTGACCCTGTTCTTCTTAGCCTCCTGCTGAGTCCGCAACATGTCCTGGTGCTTCCTGATCTGTACGTCCGTCTGCTCGATATCCTGTCTGTAAAATGTGGCGTGTTAGGGATCGTTCACATATTACGTAATCAGCTTGGGGGGGGGGGGGTTTCGAATGATTACGCTAGTGTAATTTTGATACAATAGCTATGTGTAAAACTGATTACGGAGGGGGAGGGGGGGTGGGGGCGGTAAAAATGTTCCAAAAAATGATTACGCAATATGTTAACGACTCCTTATGACTTAGGAAAGGGTTGTAGAGATTTAGATAAAATCCAAATAGTAATTGAAAATTTGATCTAGCAAGGATATAAAAGTTGATTTTTGTCCATCATTAGGTTAGAGTTCACATGTTCTGTAAATCGTAGTTGGTGGAGTACATCACTAATTATACGTCACATCACTAATTATACGTCATATGATCTGACCCCTAATAGAGGGGGCCTGGAAGTCGTGCAGCCATGGCTTCAGTACGTTTGAGGATAAAATATGACTATTGATTTTAATATTTATTCCGACTATTGATAACTGACTAGCACTGTTCACATTTTTTTTCATTGGGCCATATTGGACTCCTTTTAATGAAAAGTTATGAGGATACAATTAAGAAGGACAATAAATATAAAATAAGGTGTATAGCACATCTCGAATAATTATAATATTTTCAGGTTTCCTTGGAAATCTATTCCCTAGTTAAGTTATAAGTTTCGGTTTTCATTAAAGTTCGCTTTCAGTTTGATTGGTTGAATTTGCTATCACCACAGAAACAGCGTTCGATCTTTTACGGAGTAGTCCCAAAATCCACAACCTCATTTCCCTCATCCTCCAAACATAGAGAAGTGGATTTAGAGAAGCGTTGAGGACAGTACAGAAGAGTTCGCTTAGAAGCCAGCTGTAGAAAAACATAAAATTGTTGTCATATATGGGTCCTGGGTACAGTTTATACCACGCCATGGTGAATGAGTACAGACCGCTGTTGAAGAAAGTAAAGCAATTACACAGCAGGAAGATCGCTGCAAAGTAAGTTATGGTGATTGAAGCTTGCTGATTTCTTCTCTGAGATGCATCAGTGATATAATGTTTTTTCTTGAGGTTTAAAATGGATACCAGGAACGCTAGAAACACGATTACTGGAGGGACTCCCAAACAAGCGCTGTAGTTAACTTGATAAAAGGTGTAGAATGTAGACTCTGAGTAAACTTGTCCAAGTGCTGCAGCGGTGCTGTAATAGGCATCAGCATGGACAAAGTACAAGGAGTTCCAGATGCAATGGTACACAAGGTACACTGGAATGGATATGATAACTGCTCTTTTGTTGACTTTGTAGAACGGCTGCATGATGACAACTGCTCGAGATAAAGACATCAACATCACCACAAACATGGACATTTGTTGAAGCAACAAGAGTATAAAATACCAGATCAAGCAGAAAGTTGTGTTGCCCAGGATCCCAGGCGCTCGGTTGGACAGCAAATTGAAGGCAACAGGAAGGTGAATAATGGTGGATCCTATATCTATGGAGCAGGCAACTATGTAAAGAAGAGTCGACAGATTTCGTTTCTTTGTGTGGAGGAAGTATCTCAAAGCTAGGCAGTTTCCCGGAAGTCCGATCACAAAGCAGGCAAAGAACCCAACTGCAATCAAACCGTCAAATACTCTGTACTGAGTTTCCAGGATCAGACCTACATCTGGTGTAGTCTGTGCCAAAGTTGTACTCATTGCCATGATATTATGTCTGGTAAAATTATTGAATCAGGATTAATCGAACGTTAAGGATATTCAATGAATAGTGAATACTGATATTAAATGTTTATTAATGCTAAGTGGTGTCACGATGAGTGGGACAAGATAAATGCTGGATCGACCCTTATTGCAGTAAAAAAGGTTGACGTAAAATCTTAATGAAATACATTAGATGATCATAACAAGTTGTCTAGTCATGTAAAGCTAAATCTTATATATTATATTAATGAAATACACAGATAAACGCGATTAGGCCAGTAGTCATGTCCTCATCACGCAGCAAAGATGTCTATTCCATCAAATACCAAAGTATAACAAACCTGAATGTAAAGGTAAATACAGTGGGTTCAGTGCACTGTACAGTGTACTGTGTACTGTACCGGGTACCCACTGTTAACACACTGTTCCCACAAGATCAAGATGGAGACATAATCTGTGATTATACTACAACCCAAAGGCTGGTATTGTTGTAATATCCTTGTGTGTAATGGCGAACAATTATGAATAGCGGTTTTACTGTATCATGTGCATGCTCAGAGATAGAAGTTCCGACACGTACTTAGGGGCCAGTTACTGTTTATGGAAAAAGCATTTAGAGGTCTTTTAACGGCAGATGTTCATAACCATGCTGCGGTTTTTTCATTATATTATTATGAGAGGTTTCGGGAATTCAAGTATCCGAGATGAGAGATCGCATACCAAGTTCGTGATTTTTGACGCATTTTAATGTGCCTCTGGTCAAATAGTTAAGTATAACTGTATAAAGGGATCTCATTTTCAAGGGTCACCTATTGCAGTCGCTGGAAGAAAATAAATTTAGCTGAAAGTAAAATAGTAGCAATCGACTAGAGCTGTGCGTGCTTATTGCTCGTGTTCTACCTTACCTTTGATACCTTTGTGTGTCACTAGTCAGTGAGTCAGTCGATATCTTACTATATATAAAGCGAGACGATATATATATATATATCTGTGCCATTTTACTGACACCACGGCATCAACTTTAACGCAACTTTCCGCAAAAACCGTAAAAGATATACAACTGAAACTTTTTTGACTGGGTTAAATGCTTTAATGGCCTTCAAATCAGCATGAAAAAATAAAAAATTGGCCAAGGAATAATAATTTTAGTGCCCAAAATTTGGACTCCCAAGTGGTGTCAAAAACGCGAATTAAATAGGTAATAATTATTTTAGTCTCTCGAGTCTTGACACCACTTTAGGGTTAGACGGGTTCCTGCTAGTAATACTAATAGACAGCGAGCAACAAATAATTTCATGTTAGTCGTTAGTCTTATGCACCTTCTGTCCCCGTGTGCCTATAATCATCTTTAATCTCCTGTTTATCCTAGCATTTTTATTCTAACCATTTATTCTATACTCTTTTTAAATTCTTTATCGAGGAGGATCATTAGTCATTATGAAGCACCTCAATCAGTAATTATTCGTTCCATTATTACCCCGCAATTTTCCGTTTTCCAACCGTTTAAATCATTCGGGACTTTGAATCGGTAATTAACCCTCATTATCTCTGCTCTAGCCCCCACGTGACAGCAACACGTGATGTTCGCCTCTCTGTTTATTATGCTTTTATGTTCTGCGATTTTATGTACATTTTTCACCATTTTACTTCATGTTTAAACTTCATAACCTGTATCTGTTTACACAGAGGTGTACCTATTCTTCACACCACGATTCATACTGATTCATACATTTAACATACTACGTCGTTTTTCAATTAAGAGGAATAAATGTTACGAAGGGAATTTATTTCTATACAATTTTACGGTCAATCCCAGCTTTTTTCAAGTGGGGTTTACAAGTTATCGTTATGTATCATTTAATTATAACAGAAGCATGAGGACCTTATAGTCTTCCGTAAGGGCTGCAATCACCTTCGGATTGCAGGTTGCATGCCTATGTTTTTTCACCATGTCGAGGCGGAAGAGGTGCAGGAGACCACCTACTCCACGATGGCATCTGATACAATACAATACAATAGTCGTTAGTCGTTACTATCCACAAGGCACAAACTTAATAGTTAGAATATTCATCCTTGAATAACAGCGTTATTTGTTGTAATAATACCTCATCAAAGGTCGGTAAATTTGGTGCCACCGTAATCTACAATTTACTCATCACCGCATATGATTGCTCACCTGGGCAAACCTATGGTTTCATATGACCCGAATACTAGGATCCCATTGGACGGCTACAATGACCTTAAAATATTTTATAAAATCTATAATGTAGGAGGCACAGTAAATAACTTTAACGATCTTACTTAATGATGGCAGCGGTTCAATAGATTTGCAGTTAACCGATGATATTAATATGAGATATATGCTAATTCTTAAAAGTAAATTCATTGCCATTGTCACTGCAACATCGACGAAAAGTTCGACACGACACACGGAGGCTCAATTGAAAATCACATATTTTCAGAAAATCACATATTTCATTACAAATATCATTTGCTACTAAATCATCAGAACATGAACTCTGGAGGGTATAAGAAGTGACGAACTGTCAGTAAAATTATCCACACTGCGGTATTCTCACTGCGGTATTCTTATAAACGGGTTCTCAAGAGCATTAACAAATACGACAAGAATTAATCTATTAAAATTTACAATTTAACCTATTAAAATTTACAATTTAACCACAATCAAGGAAATCAGACGTGCAATAATTGGATTATACTGAGGAGCTTTGAAGAGTGGAGGATATCTGATAATATTGGTTTTAAATCGGGCGGTAATATAGTAAGATGGTAGATAAACTGCATTAAAGCTGCTTTCCGGCATTACAACAAAGTCTTGAAGCAAGACCAAATCGTATTACTCAATAAGAACTCACCTAAAATATTGAGAACATTTAATTTTAAAGACCAATGTGTGAAATATAGCACGCGCTTGCGCATTGCGTGTGCTATCTTAAACAATAATCTCAAGATGTGTGTGTGTTTGTGTGTGTCTGTCTGTCTGTGTGTGTTTGGGAATCAACGGTTAATCAACGGTTAAATAACGGTTAGAGCTTAGGACTGGTTTTTTCGGTATAGTTTCAACTGCGTACTGAAGTCCCGGCCTTGGGCACGGGTTAAACTAGTACTCAATATCCTGGTGATAATGGTTACAACTTTACAAGTCATTAAACACAATGTGTTGCAACACAATGTATTGCAACATTATATAATTGTAAAGTCATACTATTGAACACTATGTGACTACAATGTATGCCTCAATTATGCTAATACCCAACATCCTACCCATCAGAATACTACATATCCACACAAGGGCCTTAGCCTGCCCGTTCTATGTAGATTATAGAAGTATAGACATACAGCACGGAGGATCGAGTAGCTGTATATTTTATACATCCCGAGTCCAGGTGCGAGGAGGAGGTATATATCCACGTTCGGGAGCTTTCCCATCCCAAAGTTATCTGATGGAATTAATGCAATGGAATCAATATTATTGGACCTAGTGAGTTCTCACGCTATCATGTCACGTGATTATGTTTTGGTTGTCTCATAATAATTTTGAAGACGCTCGACCGTGCCAGTTACACGGTTAAACTTGTTAGAAAAATGAGAGAAATTATGCCTTACAAAATGATGCCAAGCTACGATAGTAAAAAAGAACTGGATTGCGATGGCGATGACACCTGGGATGTGTGACAAGAAAGCAGCTGGAGAATGCGGATATGAGTGACGAGGAAATGGTAATTGTCATTTGCCGTGTTTTTCTAGAAGGAAAAAAGCTTAGATTTGGTATAGTCAAACCTCTCCATATCGGGCTTCTCGGGGGAGACGAAACCTGTCAAGCGTATCATTATTTCATGTACTCCATTACTAATTGGCCATTAGGGGCCAATTAGTAATGGAGGTACGGTATGGAGAGGTTTTACTGTTTTAATCTTAGCAATATTCATAATTTATAAAAGGTATTCTGTTTTCCAAAATATGTATGTAAATATATATGTAAGTATCATGATTTAAAAGCTGGAGATTCTAGTCGTCATAATATTGTCAAGTTTTCGTTTTACTTAGTGAATCAGGCTCCCTTTGGAACACTGATCTTAATTTAGAAAATTACAAACCTTGCTCGTTTGATTGACTGAAAATTTATTTTCAAATAAAAAATGCAGATCAAAAATTAAATTTTGGGGGCATCACCATGATCGCTCAATTCGCCATGAAATTTTTAGAATCTTTGAATAAAAATGGCGGAACCTAATTCCAATTAATTCTTACTTAACAGTCGACCCTTCCCATCTCCAGTTTTAACACTTATCAACAGAAAAACGAACCTGATTCTACTTAGATCTACTGTCATATCAGAGAGTCTACTCTCCAAGTGCTCCATGGTTGATGTGGTAGATGTCATTTCTTCTGTATACTGTCCCTGAGCAAGTTAATATTAAAGTCATTATTGTGACGGTACATTAGAACCAGACAGAAACAAAGTGTTAAGGGCCTGAACGGAACCCCCGGTTTCAGTTCCTTGTTTAACACTGCCGTACAGCAAGGACATCCACCGGGTTCTCCAAGGATGGGCACATAGCTCACTCCACACTATGCTCTGTCAAATGCTGCATATATACCAAGGATCTACAGGAAATATTTCCTTTTAAGTTTAGAGGGCGATCTGTGAACAGACAACTACCTCATTCCCAACTAAGGAACTAAAATTCCTATACTATCCCAACGAGCTACACCACATATAATGGGATGGGAACGTTTAAACCATGTGTAGCTAGTATAAAGCTCCATAGTATAAAGGTTTTGTTTCACTTTTAACACTTTTAGTATGTTTAGATGAAAAGCTTTAATTGTGCAGTGTTACATCTAAATATTTACGCAATTTTTAAATTGACTTAATTCAACAGTCTTCTCTGCTACAATTCTTACTCTCGTTTATCATTACCACTTAGCAGGTCCCTCTACAGTCTACATATTTTCACCATTTTATTTGAGTTAAGAAATTATCTTAAACAATAATCTCAGAATGTGTGTTTGTGCGTTTATAATTTCCGAGCGGCTTAATCAAGAAAACGGTAAGAGTTACGGGGCTGGTTTTTTTGGTATAGTGCCGACAAAACTATGAGGAAGCCAAATGATATTATTTAGCGTTGGTACATTTATCATAATTAGATTATTCGGCAATTATGTGTTACTGACTTAGCGAGTAAATACTCCTATCCTTTTTAACTGCGGCAGTGAAATAAAGATTGTCGCCAGCGCAGTAATCTTAGTTTCTGTTAATCAATAGAAAAGTTTAGTCAGCAACATAGCTGACCGCAGTGATTAATTACATTCAGTATTGCAATACGTTGGCGTTGTAAACTGCTATTTTAATTTAATAAAAAATCAGAATAGTATAAAATGCATAATTTCAGGCCCTTATGATACATTTTTATCCTAGCGTTACACTTTTACGTTGTTCTTCATACATGACTGATTAACTCTTTGGGGCGTTATTTCACTACCGAAGAGTTAAAATACAGTGTTAAACAACAGTTGTTGTGTTAGGGTGTGTTACTAATTACTAGTTAATTTCACTGCAAATACCTGCTTATCCCGACACTCCGCCAGCTCCTGATCTCGTTCAGCCTTCTCAGCTTCCACATTCCGGGCTTTGTTACTGATAGTAATAGTGATAGTAGTAGTAGTAGTTTGTTATTGTTAGAGCACAGGAAAAACGGTTGGAAGTGCCAATTTGGTGATCACATTAAATTAAATGATACAATTTGAATTGCTTTGTATCCTAATAACAAAGTTTGCAGATTCAGTGATAGCCTTGCTGAAGATCTGGTATTGAGAGAGATTAAATAATAAATAAATACAAAACAAAGAGACCACAATAACATTACACTTACATTAGTTCACATCATTTGTAAACATCACATACCTGTCTTCTATTTCCCGGATCCTTTTAGTTAGACGCTGACGATCCATGTTCAAATCTTTAATACTGTTGTTGGCAGTTTTTATCTTCCGTTGCACTTCCAGTAACTGGTTAGTGGGATATGTAGTTTTTAGCAGTGGAATAGTCATGCACAACCACAAAATTCACATGGGCCAACAATATAGATATGAAGTAAAGGCCCCCCCTTACCTCGCGTTTCTTAGCATGAGCTAGCTGTCTGAGAGAAGCCTGATCAGACTCCAAAGACTGGTACATCCTCATGTCTTCACTCATCTCTGTCTCTAAAGCCTACATTATGGGAGGTACTGTTATTAGATGTTGTTTGATACGCAATGTTAATTCGGATAAAGTACAAATAAACGTGTTGTATATTTTGATGAGTTTCCAATGAGGCAAAGATATTCACTCTTTCTCAAACCAAAAGATATACACTTCACCTTAACATTCGCTTCAGCTTCGTTGAACTTTTCCTGTGCCTTAGCGATTCCCTGTTCAACGTTAGGAAGGTGAGAGTTGAGCTTGTCAATAGATCGCTGTATTGGGATCTGTTCGTCTTCAATCTCCTTCACCTGGAAAATAGCATGTCCTGCTGTTTAACCTCTGTCTATCTCCTTCACCTGGGAAATAGCATATCCTACTGTTTAACCTCTGTCTGGGAAATAGCATATCCTGCTGTTTAACCTCTGTCTATTTTCAATCTCCTTCACCTGGAAAATAGCATGTCCTGCTGTTTAACCTCTGTCTATCTCCTTCACCTGGGAAATAGCATATCCTCCTGTTTAACCTCTGTCTATTTTTAGAGGGGAAATAGCATGTCCTGCTGTTTAACCTGGGAAATAGCATGTCCTGCTGTTTAACCTCTGTCTATTTTTAGAGGCATGACACTATGACACACTGGGAAATAACATGTCCTGCTGTTTAACCTCTGTCTATTTTTAGAGGCATGACACTATGACACACTGGGAAATAGCATATCCTGCTGTTTAACCTCTGTCTATTTTTAGAGGCATGACACTATGACACACTGGGAAATAACATATCCTACTGTTTAACCTCTGTCTAATCTCCTTCACCTGGGGAGTAGCATATCCTGCTGTTTAACCTCTGTCTATTTTTAGAGGCATGACACTATGAAACACTGGGAAATAGCATATCCTGCTGTTTAACCTCTGTCTATTTTTAGAGGCATGACACTATGACAGGAAATAGCATGTCCTGCTGTTTAACCTCTTCAATCTCCTTCGCCTGGGAAATAGCATGTCCTGCTGTTTAACCTCTGTCTAATCTCCTTCACCTGGGGAGTAGCATATCCTGCTGTTTAACCTCTGTCTATTTTTAGAGGCATGACACTATGACACACTGGGAAATAACATGTCCTGCTGTTTAACCTATGTCTATTTTTAGAGGCATGACACTATGACACACTGGGAAATAACATGTCCTGCTGTTTAACCTCTGTCTATTTTTAGAGGCATGACACTATGACACACTGGGAAATAACATGTCCTGCTGTTTAACCTCTGTCTATTTTTAGAGGCATGACACTATGACACACTGGGAAATAGCATATCCTGCTGTTTAACCTCTGTCTATTTTTAGAGGCATGACACTATGACACACTGGGAAATAACATATCCTACTGTTTAACCTCTGTCTAATCTCCTTCACCTGGGGAGTAGCATATCCTGCTGTTTAACCTCTGTCTATTTTTAGAGGCATGACACTATGAAACACTGGGAAATAGCATATCCTGCTGTTTAACCTCTGTCTATTTTTAGAGGCATGACACTATGACAGGAAATGGCATGTCCTGCTGTTTAACCTCTTCAATCTCCTTCACCTGGGAAATAGCATGTCCTGCTGTTTAACCTCTGTCTATTTTTAGAGGCATGACACTATGAAACACTGGGAAATAGCATATCCTACTGTTTAACCTCTGTCTAATCTCCTTCACCTGGGGAGTAGCATATCCTGCTGTTTAACCTCTGTCTATTTTTAGAGGCATGACACTATGAAACACTGGGAAATAGCATATCCTGCTGTTTAACCTCTGTCTATTTTTAGAGGCATGACACTATGACAGGAAATAGCATGTCCTGCTGTTTAACCTCTTCAATCTCCTTCACCTGGGAAATAGCATGTCCTGCTGTTTAACCTCTGTCTATTTTTAGAGGCATGACACTATGACAGAAATAGCATGTCCTGCTGTTTAACCTGGGAAATAGCATATCCTGCTGTTTAACCTCTGTCTATTTTTAGAGGCATGACACTATGACAGGAAATAGCATTTCCTGCTGTTTAACCTCTTCAATCTCCTTCACCTGGGAAATAGCATGTCCTGCTGTTTAACCTCTGTCTATTTTTAGAAGCATGACACTATGACAGGAATGTTATTGGAATATTATCCTAATGACTTACTACATAGACTATAGAGAAGCGGTACTTTTCACAGAATAGCCTCTTAAATCTTAGATTCAAAAGTAATCAAAGCCATCTACTTAGGACGTCCGCCAAAATCGCATATTTTCAGGCCACCCCCTCCCCCTGTACTGTCCGGGTTTGTCCAAATGTTTCCCGATCCATGACTCAAAGTGCCGAAGGCACAAAAGAGTCAAGGACAAGGGTTAGCGAACGAAGTTTTTTTTGTATATGGTAGCTTTGCGACCGTCCTGCGACCGTGCGAGCGAGCGTACGTGCCCTATTAGAGTTTGTCAATCCCCAAAGTTATTTTGCGCAATATTCTGAAATCTGAATTAAATTGGTATTGGCGCGCGACGCTGAACCGATCAAGTAAATAAATCGTTAATTTCACCATGTACGTATCCAACTAGTTAGTCACTAATTGATAGGATATTATTTCGAATTAGTATTTTAGTATTACCATTTTGCACTCCGTGTCATATCAGGTTGCATAAACAATAAACATATTGTTAGTGTTAGTGTTACATAGAAATGCATACGATTTTCAAATGTAATATGGAATTAACTGGGCGGCGCTTGGCCTATCACTCTGCCATATCTGCATGCTTATAAAGTATAAACAGTAAAGCCTAGGGTCCCCAGGTTGTATGGAATATGATAAAATACGCCATCACGGATCGGGAAATTGAGCTGCCATCCACAAAAGAAAAGCGGCCGCATTTCTTGTTAATACTTTCAACACTACTATATAACAAATAATTTGAGATCATGAATACGATGTTGTAACATTGAAACGTTGAGTAAATTCCTTTCCTGATAACAGCATTTTTCCTTGTCGCATCAAACGGGATCAATACAATTTTACACAAGAATACACTAATTTTGAAGATTAGACATAAATTTCCGCACTTCCATCAAAATCAAATTTTCGGCAATCACGAAGACATAAAAACTTAAGATGTTATTACAATCTTTCTGTATCAAATACGGAAAGATAGTGAGCATTTTACACGTTCAATTACGCCGAAGTTCAGTAACATACACACCGCAACTACATAATATTATATGAACTGCGGTCATTGTATAATATTATAAGATATCTTTGTTCTTTGAACTTTACACTAAACCCTGCTGTTATCTGTTGTATGCGGTGTTTCTTTGTTTTTTACTAAATTATATCAATCATTAATCTTCCATGAGGTTCAAGTACCAGTAGCTGATGAAATTTATTTTACAATTTCTTACACTATCCGACGTCTGCAAATAAGTGTTTTAATGTCGTTTTTATATCATTGTAGATTTAAAGTTAAGACAATTTACTTCGTTTGTCTGACTTTAGCAGCGTTTTTATGTTTTAAAACTGTGATAACTGTTTTTTCTGCCACAAAAGTCAGCTACATTGAAGTAAGGGTAGCTCCAACAGTTGATAACAAGAGTTATACTCCAACGGAAGACATTGACTATAACACAGATAAAACATTATTAACTGAAGATGAACTCAAAGACATCCCTATTACTTCTCCCACAAATGCCTCAGTAGTTGTAAACGAGGGAGACTTTCTGAGGGATTCTAACTCTTCAAATACTACAGCCCAATATAAAGATAGCTATTACATTGTGTTTGTCATCCCAACCCACCCCTCAAAGATAACTATTCGTCAAGCGATCAGAGAAACATGGGCGAATATTACTGCTTGGTCTTTGTTAGCAAATGAAGAGTGGGAGGATAAGAAGAAAATAAGATTGATGTTTGTTTTTGGTGCGCTGGACTCTAGTTCTAATTCTACCGAGTTTCAAGAAGAGCTATCTCAAAATAATGATATGTTTGTAGTCAGCAATATTAAAGAAAGTTACCAAACACTTCGCTACAAAGTAGTGTGGGGTATGGGATACTCTTATCAGCACTTCAACTATAAATTTCTTGTTAAAACTGATGACGACATCATGGTAAACTTACCAGTTCTAGTTCGAGCTGTGTCACGTTTTACTCCAGGTCTCCGCTATGTGGGACTCTGTGGTCACCCGCCCCAAAGATGGAGATATTGTTCAGGAGGGGGTTATGTATTGTCACGTGACCTTGTTGGACATATACTAAACCTCCCTGAAACTGTTCACAATGTCACCATCAAGCCGGAGGATGTTTTCACTGGTTGGCTTGTCTGGAATGTTAACAATTTGAATAATGTTTACAATACTACTGAGTTTGCAGTTAAACCTCATTATAGGTATAGGGCGCTGTCTATGGCGCGGTACAAGTGTGGGCCTTTGAACAAGTGGTTTTATCATGGTTACAAGGGGAAAAAGTACGATTATCGAGTTGAAGCATTTCGTGAATTTTTCATGAACAATTCTACTATCGAGTGTGGAAATAAAGATACGACATTATGATATCAATGGTTGTTCTTATTGATTGGATTGTTGATAAATGATACCCGTAGACTAGTATTGACTGATAGACATATATTACAATGCAACTGTTTAATCTTGATTAAAGTAATTAATGTAAACTCTTTGTTCCGCTTCCGCACAAAAATAGGTCAAATAATGACATGATTATCATGATCAGCATTCAACTGGAATTGCAATTGGCGGTTCAGCTTTAATTTTATGTGAAATTGACGAAACTTTTAAAATTGCTAAGTGAGCAGTAATGTCAACCTTCAGTGAGAAAGAAAGGTTTTACGATATACGAAAACGAAATGGTCTTGGGCCTGTGGCTCGATTTTTTCAAATGTAAACTCTTGTCCAAATTTAAAATGTCAATTCTTGATTTTATGAAGAAGCAGATTGGTTGAAATCGGTTTGAGATTCGACAATTTAGATTTTAGCTGCAAAGGTCAATGACAGTTGTGGAAGTAGTTGAAATTTGAAAACGAGTCTTCAAACACCCTGTAGACACTACTGTTTTGGTGGCAAGGCAGCAGCCGCTCCAATGCTACACGAAATGAGCATTCCACACTCGTCCTTTATTAAACTGCTCTTCAATAACAACCGCCGCCACATTTCCACGGCGGCTTTGAACTATTCCCAAGAGCGTTCGCCGTGATGAACCCACAGCATAAAGGAAATGTTCTGATCTAATCCTTGGTAGTGGACAGTGGTAGCTACCCTGTATTAAACATTTATAAGTTGCATGTGACCAAGTAGATATCAGGATATTTTATTATATTGTTATTTAAGTTTTACTATAATAAGTAGTAGTTTTAATAAGAAGTGCCCCTCTATGCAGTGTACAAAACTATAATGAATATTGATATCTCATGAGGCCGCACCAGTTGACTGGAATGTTTTGGTTTTGGTTTTGGTTTTGGTTTATAGAGCTACACGCCACTTATGTCCGATGAAGGACTTCTAGGCAATGTGCTTGGTTGTGGGACACATAAGTAGTTTTCATTAGAAGTGTCCCTCTATGCACAAACAATAAATATAATATTATGGTGTTACATAGAAATGTATTTCTAATTTAATATGGAATTAACTGGGCGGCGCTCAGCCTATCACTCCGCCATATCTGCATGCTTATAAAGTATAAACAGTAAAGCCTGGGGTCCCCAGGTTGTATCTTTGTATGGAAAATGATAAAATACGCCATCACGGATCGGAAATTTAGCGGCCATCCACAAAAGAAAAGCGGCCGCATTTCTTGTTTAAACCACCCCCTCCCCCGGACGTCCGGATTTCCAGCTACTTTTAAGAGTACAAATAAAACCAACTCAAATTCATTGTTAATAAAATTCAAAGAGTTGAAATAAAATTTAAAGAGTTGAAATAAATGGGACTTTTTCGTTAATTCTGCCAAAATTTCCGGACGTCCGGATTTTCACAAACCACCCTCCCCCCTCCCCCTGTCCGGATTTATCCAAAATTCCAAAACCACCCCCTCCCTATTTGCCGGACGTCCTAAGTAGATGGCCCGAAGCTATCAGTGAGTAAAACTAATAACAATGAAAATTTGGAAACGTTTAAAATTAAAAACACAATACAAATGGTCGATCTTATACCTTACTCTAGATCTGGGGGTCCTTTCCGAAACGGTACTTAAGTCAAAAATGGTACTTAAGTAAAAAGTTAAGCAAAAAGTATTTTCGAAATGAGACTTAAGTGCGAAAACTTAAGTCATATTTCGCACTTAAGTATTTTTACTTAAGTAGAGAATTTTACTTAAGTACGTACTTAAGTGCGGTGTTTTTTACTTAAAATGTAATTATGGTCTAGAGGTTACTTAAGTGCCTAAATTGTAACTCTAACTCAAAATATTAAGTGCCACTTAAGCGTTTTTTCGGAAAGGACGCCCTGGTAAAGTCGTGAAGTGTTATTGATTCTTACATGATATGATGATTCTGTCAAGAAAATTTCAGATTTTTTCTAAAATTCACTCAGTGATGAAAATGTTCTGCGACTTACCTTGCTCCAGATGAGTTCGTCCTTGAGCTGGGACACTTTCTTCCCCATGTCCCTCAATTCTGTGATCTCATCATACTGACTCTTGAGGTGCCTGACCTGGGCTCTGACATCTGGGATGGTTCGTTCCTTCTTAGCTATCGTGTGCTTTATCGTCTCTAGCTTTTCGTTGACTTGCTGAAATAAGTTTTGTTATTGTGGATACATGACATTTACTGTGTTTTTTCATGTGATTGATGTGAGACCGTGTTTTGAGATCAGTAATATAAAAGTTTCTTATTTCCACAGAAATCTATCATAGACGTTGATTCCCAGATTTGTCTTTCAGATAATTGTAATTGGTCCTCAGCCTCCTAAATTCATTCTAATAATAATAATAATAGGATTATGGCCACATAGCCATCTCGACAAAACTTGAAACCCAACTGCACTCTACGCTATTGCAGTTCGCACAATATTTTCAAAAAAAAATTCTTGGCCAATTTTTAACCTCCCTTCAACCTTCGTAATCAGTTTTACACGTCATAGTTAAAGTAACACGTCGTTTAGAACCCTCCCACAATCATGTACGTAAAATGTTATTGGTTATAATTCTGTCCATCAGTTTGTTTTTCTTGCTCTGGGTTGAGACATCATTGTAATTAGTCATATCTTAACAATTATATGACAAGTTTGACTGCTATGTGTTGGTTCAGCTGAACTAATGAGTGTATATTCAACTCTATTTTCTAGTTTAGTTAGTTGTCATCCTGCCAATCAGTCGTCAGTACTTGTATTGCAATACCATTATTTCCATGATATGAGTTTTGATATCGGAGTAATCAATGTAATTACTAATTTTGCATGGCTAAAATGTAACGCTTAATTTCCATATATTTTTCAAATTTAACAAAACTAATCACAAGATGAGCAGTACACGATGAGCAGTACACGTGTGGCCTGGGATTGTCCAATAGTGGGTCACGTGATACTCATAAACAGGATTGGTAGGATGGCTCCCCCTGCCCCCCCCCCCCCCCCCCCGCTTCCTACACCCCTGGCTCAACATCAGTTGTGGGAGCATTAGTAATGAGGTGGTAAGTAGGGTTGCCATTATCGGTACTTACTTACTTTGAGTACTTTGAGTAGGTTTGGCTGGGATCGCTTCAGGACAACAGTATCAAGTACGTCCTCCTATCACTCCACAGGGGTCTTTTTGTAAGTACCATTCCAAGAGTGAGTTGTTGTTAGTAGCGGTGTATCCTTTAGTCGGAGGTGTGTCGGGGAATTCTTTAAGGAATTTAGCCAGTGACGATTTTAACAGGTCCAAAGTAGAGATGGAATTAATTTCTTTGGGGAGAAGATTCCACAGCTGTGCCGCTTTCACTCCAAACGAGTTTTCATAGTGAGTTGCCACAGAACGCTGTGATTTGTTGTTCAGTGCTGGTACAGTAGCTTTTATTCCATGTCGGGGGTTGTTTTTGAACAGCATGCCAATATCATTTGGGGCCAGGCCATTGAGAATTTTCCATGTGTGGATCAAGATGTACCTTTCTCGACGTCTCTGCAATGATATGATATTGAGTTTCGTGAGACGTTCCCAGTAGTCTAAACCACTGCATCCGTTAATGCGTCGGGTAAATTGTCGTTGAACGTTTTCTATAGCCTCTATGTCCATGGTCTTGGCTGGATTCCAGACAGGGCAGCAATATTCTAGCTTACTCCGCACCATGGTTTTGAAGAGGGTAAGCATGAGAAATTGTGATCTATCTTTGAAGACGCTAAGAACCCAGGATGACATAGTGCTTGCTGATTGGATCATTTTCTGGATGTGGGGAGTCCAAGAGCAGTCGTTTGATAAAATCACCCCCAAGTCCCTGACAGTTTCTGCTGGCTCAATTATTTGACCTGTTGTAAGAGTGTAACTGAGCAGATCATTTGTAAATGGCAGATTTCGTAGCAGAAGAGAATTATTGAGCGTATAGTTGAGGATCTCAAATTTGGCTTCATTGAGCTGCATATTGTTTCTTCGAGCCCAGGCAATGACATTGAAGAGGTCTTCTTGTAGCGATGCTTTGGTGGCCAAGTCCAATATTTTACCGATGAGTTTAGTGTCATCAGCAAATATCTTTCCAAGAGAGGTAAGCAGTGCGTCCAATTGGTCATCGATGTAGAGAATGAACAGAATCGGTCCCAACACTGTACCTTGTGGCACTCCACTTATCACCAGCTGGAAGGATGACTTAGTTCCTTCAACGACCACTGTCTGGAGACGGTTTGTTAGGAATTCGCTTAACCACTGGAGCATGTTTCCATGAATTCCGTAACGTTTTGCTTTTGCAAGTAGTATGTTGTGATCCACCTTATCGAACGCCTTGGCGTAATCGAGGTATATGACATCTACTTCTTCGCCACTGTTCAGGCTTTTCAATATGGTATCTACATGGTCTAAGAGTTGAGTTAGGCAGCTCCTCTTTTTGCGAAATCCATGTTGATGCGGTGAAAGAAAGTTATTCGCTTCCATATGTTCGACAAGGTTGTTTCGTATCACTCTTTCGAAGATCTTGATGATATGCGATGTTATAGAAACAGGGCGGTAGTTGGCAGCCTCTGTGCGGTCACCCTTCTTGTAGACAGGGGTAATAAACTGCGTTTTCATGCTAGGAGGGATTACTCCAGTTTCAAAAGAATCTTGCCAGAGTAGAAATATGGGCTCGGACAATGTCTCTCTACATTTGGTCAGGATCCTAGCAGGGATATCACCATCAGGGGTCGATGAATACGGGTCCAGTTCCTTGATGGCTTCTGAGATATCGTTAACTGAGAATTGCATTTGATCGAGTTCCTTAACTGGCACAGGGTTCAATCCAGCAAGGCTTTCCTCGATGTGGGCTTCATTTGGGTCACTAAATACTTTCACATATTGGGCCTGGAGGAGCTCGGCCTTTTCCTTGGGGTCAGTGTGCAGTCGACCTTCTCTATCTCTGATGGGGGAGACAGAAGATTTGACTTTCGCAAACTTCTTTGCGTAGCTGTAGAAGTAACGTGGATTTGTCTTTATGGTAGTGACAGCTTTAGCCTCGCGTTCGTTGAGCTCGTTGATGATCAGCTCACTTATTTCAAATGCCAAGAGGTCCACTTCATTTCTAAGCTTTGCAAGGACGGGGGACGTAGGGTTTCTTTGAGTAATGGCATTCATGCGGGCGTTGATCTTCCTCTTTTTCCTTTTAAGCGTATACTTTTTACGACAATGCTGGTTTCTGTGCACTGGGGAAGCACCTGGCTTATTATTGTACGGGGAATTGAGGAGAGTGACCTGGAGCACAGTCAAACGGATGAGTTCCAAGAAATTACTCCCATTCTCATCGTCTTCACAGAGTCTTTTAAGTTCCTTCCAATCTATTGTTGCTAGAAGTTCATTCATAGCTTCAAAGTCAGCGTTGTGATAATTTACTGCTCGAAAAGAGTCTTTATCTACAACTTCAGTTGAGGTTTGCTTGGGGCTGAGAGGGTTGTGACCTAGTAAAAGCTCAACAAGTCTATGATCAGACAGCTGGGTCTCACACACGTTCGTCTCGATTACGTCTTGGGGCTTGTTGGTGAGTATCAAATCAATAATGTTGCTATCTCTAGTAGGTTCATGAATCATTTGACTGAGAAAGTTCTTGTTCATGAAGTCGAGTAGGCCTGAGCAGGCTCTTTGATCCGATTGGGTTTGACCGGCGAGGACATTTGAATACTCCCAGTCTATATTGGGGAGATTAAAGTCTCCCATTATGTAGAGGTCCGGTGTTCTGTTATCGGAGGTGAGGGCGTCTAGTTTCTTTTGAACTAGGTCCAGAATTCCTTTGAAAGATTCTGTTGGAGCGTCCGGTGGGCGGTAAATAACTACAGCTAATGTATTCATTGAGTCTATGAAACAGTAAAGCATGCTGCAGTGTTTGTCACTATAACTAAAACAGTCTGAAAATAATAGTGACTCCTCAATGTAGAGCACACATCCACCACCCTTTCGAAAAGGGCGATCAGTCCTTACAGAGTTGTATCCCTCTATCTTGATCTGTGCATCACTAATATATGGTTTTAGCCACGACTCCGTGATAGCAAGAAATGGGGTGGTGGGGGATTCTTTGTCGTGGAGCATATGATCTCTGATGACGGGTATTTTCCACTTGACAGTACTAGTGGCGGCAGGTGAGATTGATCTGGCATTTAGTAGCAAGATCCTGCATAATTGGGATGAAGGCCCATTTGATGCGGTAGTTGAAATGGCTGCATTGGTGCAGTCATTGGGAATGGGGGTCGGACTTGTCCTTGAGGTGGAGGGGCTTGGAGTTGGCTTTGGGAGGATGGTTGGCGTGATCTTGACTGGGTTTCTTGTATTAATGTCGGGATTTCGTCCCGAAGCTTCATGAGCTTTGAGTCCATTTCGGATATAATTCCGTTCTTGAGGTTTTCCAGAAGTTTCTCTAAAAAAGCACCGTCTCTTTCTCTTTCAGAGTAACTATCCTTGCGTGTTCTAGCCTGTTTCCAGTTATCCACAGTTGGCGGGTATACTGTGTTAACTGAGTTTAGGCTGCCCATTTTGTCGGGTTCAATGGAGCTTAGAGGTGGCCATTGTCCTCGGGCTTGGTTAAAGTCTGGTCTTCTTACACCTCTTTGTTGTTGCGGCTGATGTTGCTGTTGTTGCAGGGGCTGGGACCTATCTATTCCTGCATTTGTGGCTCCCACAGTCTTTCTAGCAGTTCCTTTCAAGTGATGGAAGCCGCACTCTTTATGGAAACAAGTTCGGGTAGCCACTGAGTTTCTGCACAGTTTTGGGTGAAAGAAGTTGCAATTTTCCCCTTTCTTGCAGCCTCTTTGTTTGTCGTCCCCAAAATCTGAGTAATATCGGCACCTTTTGGGATGCAGATATGGGCATCCTTTGCCATTTATAAGGCGTTTTCCAGTGAGGCCATGGTGGCATCTTCTCATGACATATTCTCTGCAGACCACACTCACAGTGTTAGTCTGTTCTTCGTTCAAGTTGTCGTCTCTATTCCTTCTAGGGCTCTCTCTATCCTCTTCTGAAGTGATATGTTCTTCTCCTTCCTCGTCATGTTCTTTGATAGGATCCAGAATACCTTCAGACGAGCTTTGAGAGCTTCTTGCCTTAGGGGGCTTTTGAGGGGGCTGTAGGGACAGGTCGTTTTTACGGTCGCACTCATAACAGAGCCACAATCCTTCAGGCGGGAAGAATCCCTTCTCGATTAGTTCTTTAAAAGCGGTCGCTTTTTCTTTCATCTTTTCACAATTGTGCGAACCCTGCATACAAAGCCGACATCTTAAGAGCGGTTGGACTGTCATATCGTTGTGGTATACAGTTGAGCAGGCATCACAATTGGTGTCGAACAGGGACTCGATCTTGAGTATCATTCGGTCACACAGAATCTCCTGGTTCTTGTACAGCTTCTTTTCAGCTTCACGTACTTTAAAACCTAATAGTTGGGCACAGGCTTCGAGAACAGGGGCATTGTGGGCTTTCATATTCTCTAAGTTTGTTTTGTAGGTAGCAGTGGCACTGTAAGAACACAATACTTTCTTGCTGGGTTCATCTGCAAGGTTTAGCAGGCTTCCAATCGCAATCTTTTTGCTTTCTGATTGTTTTTCCTTTAAGCCTGCCATTTCAGTTCTTCAAAATAAGATGATATATGTACAATAATCTATGTACCGTGGTCGTATGTAATGTACAATAAGCATGTACTTGGTAGCCGCTTATCAAATATTTTAAAAGATAAGAGAGCTCACTAATTGCTAACAAATGGAAAAATGCAATGATATAACTCATCTTTTTTTCTCGCGATAATCGATAACTTTTTCAAAATTATCGCGATAATATTGGTTATCGGCGATAAATTTGGCAAGATAATAGAAGTAATATTTTTCTGCACTCTGCATACTTGAATTATGCTATGTAACCTTGTTACATCATCATTGTATAGTTAAAATATCATTAATTGAATTTAATTTCCAAAAATGCAGAAATATTCAGTCTGGAGTCATGACTTAAAGTTAATAAAATTAATATCGGTAAAATTCGAACTTCGAAGATAAAAATAGAAAACTTTGATAGCATTATCGTGTGCATTTATATTGCTTAATGCTTTGTTATAGAATCAATTGCAATATTGGCATTGCCCATATTTTATCGACAAATGTTCTCTAAGGCTTATTGTTTCTCTGTAGAGAATTGGAATTACGTATCAAGGTTTACTTCGTGATCATTCTGCATTCTTGATATACATCTGCATAGTTAGAATACCGGGGTCCGAGTAGAACGTTACCAGCGATACGAAGTTAAGGTTATTTCTATTGACATATCGTGTACGTAACCTATCAAAAATGATTCGACTGGCCCTATTTATCTTATATGTGGGCCTTAGTTTATCTTGTTGTTATCGTTGGTAACTCCATATCGTCAACTCTATTTACCTTTCCCTATCTAATTTACGTATGGTGATATCATTCAGGACAATCGCTTGGACGCTAAATCAATTCTATTTTATTTACCTTTGTTTTTTCTTTTTGGTTGAGATTTATGATTCTAACCGGTTGTTTTACTTATCTTTACCTGTCATATTTTACCCTACATCAACTGAGAATAACAAAATTAATATATTCATATCGTTATTTGAATTTCAAAACAACAATACTAAAGATCACACTCCACCCAGAACAATGGAAGGTGATATACAGAATACAGCTCCTCTGGGCGACTGCTACAAAGAACAGTGGAAGGCTCTGAGTGCTTGGTTTCTAGGACCAAGAGCCGAGAACGGTGACGTCTTCATGGACATATTCAAAGACATTTTTGAGAGGCACGTTCAGCTAAGAAACGAATACTTTCCCGCAGACCCTGCATACATAACACAGACAATGAAGTCGTCCCAAGCTTACCATAACGAAGTTGAGGACATGAGAGAACAACTGATGGAAATGCAGGATCAGATGAAAGGTAACGTTCCGTTCTTCTCTCCTCGTTACCAGGCTCACATGGTGTGGGATTGCACCCTACCATCTCTCCTAGGCTACATGGGGGCCATGCTCTTAAATCAAAACAACGTGGACTCAGCTGCTAGTCCTGTTACCACTCTGTACGAGCAGACTGTTGGGCGTCAGCTCTGTGAGATGTTGGGCTACAACATAGTTCCAGATGTTGGCATAGTTCCAGATGTTGGCATAGTTCCAGATGTTGGCATAGTTCCAGATGAGGAGGTACCTCTAGCGTGGGGTCACGTGACTTGTGGCGGGTCTGTTGCTAACATTGAAGCGCTCTGGGCGTCGAGGAATATTAAGTTTGCACCATTAGCAGTCAGAGCTGCTCTGCTGAATAATGATTCTGAGGTCGGAGCAGTGACCTTTCTCTCGGAAGAACAAGTTGGGTTAGGGCTGAAGACTCCGTTGCTGGTGTACAACAGTGAGTCTGACAGAAGGGAACAAACAATGCTGGAAGATTGCACAACATGGCAGCTGTTAAATGTGGATATTGATGAAGTTTGTGACCTGGTTGAAAACGTCATTACATTAATGGCACCAGTATCTTCAGTACAAGTTGACAGATTTAGTGAGCTTGTTGAACGCGAGAGTGTAATGAGCGTCGGTCTGTTCAACTTCCATAAAAAGCACTGTATTGAGGACTCTCCTGTGTACACGGCACCTGCTAACAACCACTACTCCTGGTCTAAAGCGGGGACATTACTTGGTCTTGGCTCAGATGCCCTTATTCCCATACAGTTAGATGTAAACTTCCGGCAGGATGTTGGCCATTTAAGAGAAAAACTTACGGATTTCCTTAAAAAAGAAATTCCAGTAATATCTGTAACAGCTGTGATGGGCTCCACGGAAGAGTCCGCTGTGGACCCCATTGCTGATATATACGATCTCCGAGAAGAGTTCAGAGCAAAGGGGCTTAACTTTGCTATACTAGCTGATGGTGCCTGGGGTGGATATTTCAAGACCATGTTGATCGACGATCCGGAACCAGATAAAATCCCTCAGAATCGCAGACTTTCAATAGCCACTAAACGCAGATTTGACGGCTTTGTCCCATACTGTGAACTGAGTCCTTATGTTCAAAGGCAATACGAGCATATTCAGTTTGCTGACACCATAACCATCGACCCTCACAAGTCTGGATTTTGTCCCTATCCTGGAGGAGCACTTTGCTATCGCAACGGGAAGATGCGGTATCAAATAGCTCTTTGTCAACCAGTCGTCTTCCACGGTGAAAATGATCCCTCGATGGGAGTCTATGGAGTTGAAGGTTCGAAGCCAGGCGCAGCACCTGCAGGCATATTTATGTCTCACAATATCATTGGGTTGAGCAACAGGGGTTACGGCAGAATACTCGGTCAATGTACTGCCACCGCCAAACTCTTCTATGCCATGTGGCTGACTGTGGCTAAGGAAGATGATCCGTTTGTGTGCGTCCCGTTGCAGATATCCGGAGGGTTACGACAAGGAGAGTAGCAGAAAACTAGTTGAAGATAAGATTGCTTTCAAATCTATGGCGGAGATGTACCAAGACAGAGATGCTGTGAAGTTCCTTAAACTCTGTGGGCCCCGACACCATGATCAACACATTCGTGGTGAACTTCCGCGGAAACGATAGTGTTCAGCTCTCTAATAGGCTGCAGACCGCACTCTCTGATGCCATGAATATCTTTGTGGGAACCAATGCTCACCGGGTTCCTCTCATGCTTATGCAATCCAGTCTGGACGCCAAGAAACACGGCCGAGGGCTTGAAATCTTCAAAGAGAGGGCGGGCTTGTGTACAGATGGAACCGACATGAACGTTATGATAAACACTTGCATGAATCCCTGGCAGGCGAGTGAATGCATCTCTACAATAGGAGATTTATTCCGAAAGACTGTTCTCAACTGCATAGGTCGTGTCAAAGATTCTGTTGTTAACCACAGATTCATTCTAGCTGGATCATTTGTTGACAAAGCCGAGGATGGATCCATCTTTATTGAGTATCTGACTAGCACTGATGTTGACGAGCACCAGTACCAAGTTTCTGTCAAAGTAGAGCCTCAATCTCATGCTGATAAAACAACGCTCAGAAGCTACATTCACTTTTGTGGCATGGAGAAAATCCCTGTTGTATTTGAAACTGTCACCCCAAGCTATGATGAGGGTGATGAAAATGTTCCGAACCTTTACAACATCCTTCATCTGCAAAACTGGGATCAAAAGTTCTGTGTAAAGCTGGTAAATGACGAAGATGACAACACAATCTCCCTCAAAGTTCTCGACATTCCTCGTTATCAACACCTCGACATGTCTGCCACTGTGACCTACCCGGAGAAGCAGAAGTACTTTATCTACGGCGATTCAACAAGGACCATCATAGCTCACGTGATGACGAAACTCCCGGACTTCCAGCACACGGCTACACTAGCAAGCCGGCCTCACTCTCTAACCAGCACCATGCTGGAGATAGGTGTGATGGCGGATGTGGAGGGAGTTGAAGGGGCTCCTCTTGAAATAGCTGGAGGGATCAGGCAGCCTCTTCAAGGAAACTGTTACGAGGTATCCTTCGTCGGGGAACTTCATGCTACAATCCACACCTCTATCAGCATCAAGGACAATGTGTTTTTCAGTGCTATATCACCGAATGGAGCCTGTGCTTCCTAGACGCACATGACCAGAAAAAATTAACGAAACTTTTATTAATTTTACAGAACAAATCAAAAAGAGGAAGTGGAAGTTTGTAAACTACAAATTGCATGAAACGTTTTAATATTTAGTTTATAGTTTATATATTTAGGTTATAAATACGCTATAAATACATTGCAATGTATAAATACATTACTGACACTGATGATGCCAATTCTTCCAGTGCTTCAGTACAGCTATTTTGTTGAAAACGAAACTTTTTATATATCTATTGGCTATTAATGTTACAACTGATAAACTAAATCATCATGTATTTTTCGTGTTATACTCAAAATATTAGTGATCCAATAAGATTATTTGACCCGCCCATTACATGCACACAAGTATTGAAATAGTTAATCCTTATTCAATTAAAAATAAATGAAGAATCCCGATAATTATATCTTAGGTTCCGTTAGGTAAGAAATATAAGGAAAGGACTAGGAAAGAACTATTCCACCACCCACAGCACAGAAATTGTATAATCAACTTGTAGATTTGCAGTAAATGATAATAATTATGTAAGCGATACGATTAGCCCTGATATGTATAAAAAATTGTATGCTCATTACAATGGACGGGGATGTAGTGACTGTTTTTTGAATAATTTTCAGAAGTAATTTATTTACTTACGCAGCGCATATAATTTGTGTACCACTAAATTTTTGTGGCGCATATAATTGTAAATTCGCCCTTGTATTGGGCAACAATTCGCACAGTTAAGCATCGCAGAACATTCCCGAAGTCTGGTAGGTGGCGATACCTACTATATGATCCTAGCGTTACAATTCAGTCACTAGGCATAACTCCTAATCTTCTTCCTACCCCAGTATTCAGACTAGTTCTTAAATTCTGAGAATTTAAAGCCAGATTCTACAAAACCTTTATTTTGTGAATGATATACGAATTTCTGTGAACATTTAGGAAGTAAATTGTGTTTTACATGCCAAATAGCATAGTGCTGATGTATTTTGTTGGGATATTGTTTACTAAATAGTACATGTGATATTTCATTTGTGATATTTCCCTTTGTTTATACATCGTTATCTCTCTCTCTCTCTCTCTCTCTCTCTCTCTCTCTCTCTCTCTCTCTCTCTATACATCGTTATCTCTCTCTCTCTCTATACATCGTTATCTCTCTCTCTTTATACATCGTTATCATACAATACGACTTTTCCGTTTTATTTTGCAAATTACGAAAACATTCATGTTCCTTGAGCTTGTTGTAAACCACTTTCAACCTAACTAGAGATCAAACAATCACAGTTCTGACTGCAGCAAATAGACAAAATGACCAAAAGTTTGCAGAAACAATCCTCCTTTCTCAACGATTGGACAAAAATGGACTACATTCGGATCATACTCGCTATGATAATCAAATTTGGCGATGGTATCGAGATTTATCTTCTCGGGGTGATAACACAAAAAGTTTCCTGCGAGCTTGGTGTCTCTGGATTTATGGAGGGAATGGTATCAGTGACATTTTTCACCTTTTTCGCCATCTCCACCATGGCAGCTGTGCCGCTCACCAAGAGGTTTGGAGACCGGATCATCTTGTTGGTTTCCCTCTACACCACTATAATGTTCTCGATCACGTGTGCTCTACTTCCCAACTACTACACTCTCGTACTCTCCAGATCTCTGATAGGTCTGTGTGTTGGGCTCAACTCCGCAACTGTTGGAGTGTTTGTTTCGAAGCAGGCGTCGTCGAAAGAGGTCGCTGATCTCAGCTTGTTCATGAAGGGTGGCATAGCTTTGACTCTTGGGGGCGGGTGGGTGTCAATTTTAGGCTGGCTTATTTTAGATGCAGTGGAGTGGCACAACTTCATCATATTTACCTCCCTGCCGTTCTTTGTTCCTGCAGTAATCATACTTCACTGCTGCACCGTGAAAACACCAGATTCTGATTCATGGGGCCCAATAGCAACGGAATCAACGAGTTTGATCTCAAAGACCAAGGACAATGGACCAAACTTTTCGGGAAGAGTTATGAAAACCAGCATTTTCATTTTCTGCAACGTTTTCCTAGGTTACGGTATTATCCTTCTGCTTCCGTCGATCATCAGGTATCATAAGACCTGTGCGGCTGAAGAGTCTCTCAAGATGTTCCAATTATACAAAGATAGTGAGACAGATGTGGAACTAGATCACTGCCGAAATGTTGCTGTCCAAGGAAATGATCTCCTGATCCTCGCAGCAGTCTCCGGTGGAGCCAATGCTGTGGGACGACCACTCGGATATTTCCTCAGAAACGTTCTTACCTTCAGAGTTCTGCAATCGTCTATTGCTTTCATAACCGCACTCAGTTACTCTATCATACTCTTCAAGCCAGGACTCACCACGGCATCAGTCCTGATGGGTGTTGCGACGTTAAGCTACTCTATCCAAGATGCGGAGGTCTCAATCATACCATACGACTTGGACTACTTTGGAAGGACTGGGCTAGCTTTAGGTGCTGCAGTAATCATGTGTGTGGGAATGTTTGGAGCCATTCTGGGGACGTCTCTCGCTGCTTTCTCACCTCCAAACATTGCTGTTCTTATAACACTGTTAATCAGTGTCACTCAAATAGTTGTGATATATTTTATGGGAGAGCGATGAAGATTGGTAGAACTTGCCACAAATGTAAACTGAGTATAGATGCACGAATCCATTTCCCCAAGTAGGGAGAAATGAACACCAAGAATGCTATGCCCCAAAATGAAGGATTTTTTTGATGAGGTCAGTGAGTGACCACAATCTATTTTATTTTTTTCCTCTTATTTAAGCCATAAAATGTTTTTAGATGTTTAACCCATATTGGGTACTTTTAAAAACTTTTGTCTTTCACTATATCATTATCTATCACTTTGCAATAAAACTTTATCTAATTTGTAGAATTGAGAACAATGTCTTTTTTCCTCTGAAAGTTAATAAACTGCTGACATTTCGCTATGACATCTCCTGAAGGGACTCGCCACTGCGCGTTTTATGCGAAACCTCGACAGCTCATTAACTTTCAGTCATTTTACTTGCTGCCACTCCAATATGATCGTTCCTTTGACCAGGGCAAAGCGCCACATCTATGCAACAAGTTCAACTTTATTATTAAAAAAAGACAGATTGTTTGTTTTACAAAATGATAAAATATTATTATTATCATTCGTGGCTAATGTTTATTAGCGTTAGTTCACTCTCAATTTCCCCAGTTAAAAAAAAGCTCTTTCAATATCAATCAAATTAAAACAAATAACATACTTATTTCTCATCAATTCGCACTAAGAAGCCACTGTAAAGTGTAAACCAATTAATCAATTAATTCCCACCTTCATAGCCAATGTTGGGAACATTACAGATGTAATCAGAAGAAACACCCTCCTCACCCTCCTCCTCCTCAACCTCTTATCAAGACAATGCAGAGCAGATAACAACACCAAATACTCTGAATCCAACAGACTCAAATCCTTAGAACCTGACAGAATGTTAACCGGGGTGCGCGGCTCAGGAGACACGTACTGCTGTTACCACACCAAATGCTGGGGCACCGGTCCCAACGCCCACGTGTCACTGGAATGTTACCATGAGTTCCACGACTGTCTGGTGGATGAGGCGGGGTACCCTAACTGTGTGAGATTGAGGAGGAGCAGGGAGGAGCTGGTTTGCAGGAAGAGTGGGGGGTTAAGGGAGTGTGATGGGTGTGTCCACAACTCGTACGGAGCACCCTCGTGTGTTTGTGAGTTTGATCACTGGTTCTGGATGATAATGACACTTATTGCTGCGTGTGTGACTACTGTGTGTTTGGTCATGTTTGGACGGATGCTGTACACTCAAATGTGGGAGTTAAGGAGGACAAAGTACACCATGATACCAGAGACAAAGATAATTGCTTTACATAAGAAGAGAGTTGCTAGGAATCTTCTTCCTTCTTCAAGAGTTCGTTCCACCCGTCATTAAGCTCGGGTTCTTATTTGTATTAGTTTGTGCCACACCCTGATGAAATGCTATATTTTCTAGAGAATGAGTAAAAGATCATAATATCTAATCTCAGTAATGGGATCAGAAAAAGTATTTTCATTTTTAGGGCAGAACTTGAAAAGATCTTTAATGGACTGAGGAACATCAAATTTAAGGAATTTGAATAGTTCCACAAATGTAGGATACATGAGCAGATTCTCCGGATTCATAATTTTCTGCTCAGTGAACAGCAGTTTAGTGTGTTCAAGACAGTAGTTCTTGCTAGCCATAATATTTTTATTATAAGTTCTCGAACGTGCACATGTTAAGTAGTGGGAGGAAACAGTTAGAACATGGTATTATTATCCATTTTACCTCAAATTTCAATTTTGGGAACGGGTTTTTTGGGTTTTGAGGTTTTTTTGAAATTTTTTCCTGTTTTTGTAACTTTTTATCTAATTCGACTACATTAAAAAAAACACCTGCTAAATAGTGGGTATAATTTGCCCGTTTCCCAATGTTTAATGAGCTGTTTAAGGCAATTTATGGGTGGGTATCTTATCTTTACTAAGTAAATAATTGGAATTAATAAACAATGAGTGATCTGTTGATATTTGATACTGTTTATCAAAGACATAAAATAATTGGGCGTTATATTTTGAATGACCAGTAATTGTTAATGAAGTTTCTTCATTCTCACTGTTAATAACGTACTAGCTGAGATGATCGGCGCCTCCTCACCATGATCAGAATTTGGTTTAACACTGTTATGTTTGACAAAAATGTTCAGTTGTATTAAAGTATTAATGCTTTTCAAACAAAGTTACAACAAAGTTAAACGAATTCTTCATGTTTGTATCCTGGGTTTCGACAGGATATGACCCGTTTGAAATGTTCATATCTGCTCCGATTTCGTTTTTACGATTTTACAGTTATGCATTTTTTTTGAAATAAAATTCGTCGTAAAATTTTTAATGTGAATCTTGATAGTTGTAATTTCAGAACATGAGTATGACGTAGAAATGTCGATACCTAATTTAACTAATTACTTTCATTGC